CCAGTTGATTCACAAGAGCACGCCGAGACTCAGATTTCCGCTGGAGAAGCCCCTGGGCCAGAAAGGAGAAGGCGGGGATCTTCCAGCTGTGTGACGTCGGACAAGGTCCTTAACCTCTCTGAGCCGGTTTCCTCGCCTGCGATCATACCTAAGACTGACTGCACTACCCGTCTGAGGGGAGATTTTCAACAGCAAATAAGATGAACACGTGAAAATGCTCTCTGAAAATACTTCTGGGGGCCCCTGGGGGGCTCAGTGGTGGTTGGGCGTCTGCCTTTGGCTCAAGCTGTGACCCCAGGGTCCTGGGATCGAGTCCCGAACCGGGCGCTCTGCAGGGAGCCTCCTCTCCCTCTGCCTCTGTCTCATAAACAAATATTTTTAAAAACTAAAAATACATGGGGATCCCCGGGTGGCGCAGCGGTTTAGCGCCTGCCTTTGGCCCAGGGCGCGATCCTGGAGACCCGGGATCGAGTCCTGCGTCGGGCTCCTGGCATGGAGCCTGCTTCTCCCTCTGCCTGCGTCTCTGCCTCTCTCTCCCTCTATCATGAATAAATAAATAAATCTTGAAAAAAAAAAGTAAAAATACAAATAGTTCTGGGATGGAGACCCCGAGTCACGTCAGCCCCCCGGACAGCAGGAGGACTCCTCTGGAGCCAAGCACGATGGCTCTTCCCCTCATAGCCTCCGCAGGGAAATGGCCCAGAACTGCCACCTAGCACTGTGCCACCTGCCTTCTTAGGTGGAAGTCACACTCTGTCCCGCCACCGCCACTACACGGGCTTCCCAACCGCCCTAACACGACTTAGAGACCACCACCGCCTTGGTAGGGTGCGTGGTTGTCTTTAACTGGATCCTTGTCCTTTTAAATCTCAGCTGAGCTCTCGGGGAGCATGGGCAGAGGACTCGTTTCTTTGAAACCCAGCCACTGCCCCTCCGCCCACACGGCCCTGCCTGCTGTCCACCCTTCCCACATATCCCGCAGCCGAAGTCTTTTTTAAGATCTGTTTCTTTGAGAGACAGGGAGATCGTGGGAGAGGAGACAGGGAGAGGGAGAAGCGAGTTCCTTGCTGAGCAGGAGCCTGACCTGGGGCTCGATCCCAGGACCTGAGCCGAAGGCAGGCACTGGACCGACGGAGCCCCCAGGCGTCCCCTATCCACAGCCAGGATTCTGTTCTTGAGGAGCTCCCAGGCCATTTGAGTTTTGTTTGATTTTTCAAGATTCCATCTAACCCTTCCCGAAGGTCTCCCTATATGGAGGAACGTGCAGGCGGTAAAACTCAAACCGTTTGTGACCTGGGTGAGATTTAATGATGAGCCAAGTGGAGAGAAATGGGGCGTAGCGGGGACAGCGATGAATTCTCGTTCTTTCCCTCAATGCCCCAAACCCGAGCTACCAGATGACAGGTTGTCATCTAAAGTGATGGCTCTCATCTGTGGGGTCACCTTGCCACCTCCTTGGTCAGCTGACTCTGGAGCACAGGGATTGGGGTAATAACTTCTCAAGTTGACGGATGTGTGAATCTTCCAAGTCTATATCCAAAGCACCAAGTAAATAGCTTGTACTTTAGGAAACTCTGAGCTCACTTGCGGTGTTTTGAAAGGGGCAGAGGGGTTACCCGAATACAGCCCCAACTCTGGCTGCAAGTCCCTTACCCTGATCTGGCATCCAGAGGTGGCCTCTGAAGCCCTGGGCTCCAGCGGAGTGGGAGGATGAGCCCTCAGAGCCAACATCTGCCATTGTTTGTTTTAAAAGATTTATTCATTCATGAGAGACACAGAGAGTGAGAGAGAGGCAGAGACACAGGCAGAGGGAGAAGCAGGCTCCATGTAGGGAGCCCGACGTGGGACTCCATCCTAGGACCCTGGAGTCACGCCCTGAGCCAAAGGCAGCCGCTCAACCGCTGAGCCCCCCGGGCGTCCCTGCCATCCTGCTTCTTGCTGAGCTCTCAAAAACCGGATTTTGAGTTTGAAGAATCAATCCAAATCCAGTAAAGTATTTAAAGCTCAGGTGCTTTGATCTGTGCTTGGTAAAAGCCCTAGCTGCTAGGTTTGCATCTCCCCATCATCTGCCTTCTTTCACAGGGGCCCCAGCCCTGCTCAGCAGGACCCTGCAGTGCTGGACCTTTCTCCCTGTGTTTGGGACCTATTTTCTGATGCTCAGAGTGAAGGATGGAGGTGGGGGTGAAATGGGCTGGGAGAGGGAAGAGGGGAACTTGTTTAAAGGAAGCAGAACAAGAACAGATTTCAAATATATTTATCCCTTATTTTAAAACTTTTTCCCAAAGGGCTTTGAGATGGAAAAGCAAATGGCTTCACTTTAACCAAGGCAGTTAAAAATTCGTATCATGGGGAAAACAGTTATGGCTTTGCTGTTTTAAACAACTGTTAAAAGTGCTCTAAGGGCAGAATGAAGACCCTGTATATTGCAGGCTCTTAATTTTTATGATGGACAAAGCGCCAACAACTGAAATTCAATTAAAAAATAAGCTTTCCTTTGTTGGTCAAATGCTAGCAGTGGTTTTAACTTCTTCCATTGTAAAGTGTCTTTCCTGGCCCCACATGGGGGAAAGGGTGTGTGTGTGTGGGGGGGGGGCACAAAATGGCTAAAAATATAAACAAAAGGAAGGAGAGCTCAGAAGCTAGATGATCAGATAGCTGAAAACTGACTTGGGTAGTATCTTCTTTCCCCTTTCCTAAGTACTAACAACTCTGGATTATGTTCAATACCAAGAAAACAAATAGCATTTAGGTCATAAAAAGGAACCAAATTCCATTAAATTGTATATTGCTTGGTATCAGTATTAACATCCTAGAAAAAAACAAGACAAATTTAGTATTTAAAACCAAAAAACCAGGGGATCCCTGGGTGGCGCAGAGGTTTAGCGCCTGCCTTTGGCCCAGGGCGCGATCCTGGAGACCCGGGATCGAATCCCACGTCGGGCTCCCGGTGCATGGAGCCTGCTTCTCCCTCTGCCTGTGTCTCTGCCTCTCTCTGTGTCTCTCTGTGACTATCGTAAATAAATAAAAATTAAAAAAAAAAAATTTAAAACCAAAAAACCTGCCAAAATCCAAAGGGTTAAGTATAACTTAGTTAAGTAAAAACCAAGACAGGCTGTTTACCACCTCTACTGAAATGAATATATATTCTTCAACTTCTGTATGTAGTGTCCTAAAGTTCAAGGACAAGTGGAAATTAAAATGCATTTTCCCTAGAAACAGCGAAATAAATGGTGGATCAGGGGTTCCAGATGGCTCAACTCCAATAAAGATTAAAAAAAAAAAAAAAAGTCTTCCAACTAGATTTCAGTAATACTATATTTCAGTAACACTTCTCTTAATGAATTGGATGCATCCAAATACTTATTACTTTTATCATCTTGAGATAAAAATTACATAGGAAACAAAAGCTGCATGACCAGATCTTAAAGAGGGTTGATTGAAACAAACACTCTCAGTGGTGCCTGGCTGCCTCAGTCAGCTAAGCATGTGACTAGATCTTGGGGGCTGAGTTTGAGCCCCACACTGGGTGTATAGATTACCTAAAAACAAACATTAAACACCCCCCAGACAATGTCCGACGTACCAAAAATGTGGCCATCTCTACCAGGTGAACTGCTGGGAGAAGTGTTCCTGAAAGACATCAAGGATGGCAGGGTCCTTCACGTAGGTGGCTAGCGAGAACCCACTGCTTTGCTGAATCACTGTTTCCTTAAGTGTCAGCTCAAAGTAGGGGATCAGGAATGGGTTTATCAGAGAAGGGAAAAGATAAAGAAAATCGAGGCTCTAGCTTTTGCTGAGTGTCAGCAAACTCTTGTAAATGTGCACACACACAGGCATGAAGGAACTCCTTGACATGGAATTGAAAACAAAAGCATTGGGGCGCCTGGGTGGCGAAGTTGGTTAAGCATCTGTCTTCGGGACCTGGGATCAAGCCCCGAGTCTGGCTCCCTGCTCAGGGGGGGATCCTGTTTCTCTGTCTCCTCCCCACTTGCAGTCTTGCTATCTCTGTCTCAAATAAATAAAATCTTAAAAAACAAACAAAAAGCATTTCTACCTCCTATAACAAATTAGTTTCTATAGGTTTGTGTTTTTGCCACATGGTTGGTTTGTATTTGTATAAAGGAGCTTCTTTACCAGGAAGATAAATTTGAAGTGAGGGAAAACAAATACGCAAAGAGGAAAAGGCAGTAGAAAGTTGCTTCCCATTTCCCGAGGCATAAGGCACATCTTCAAGAAAACCTCACTCCTCCTTGGTATACAAACACCAGGGTCCTCACTACCGTTAGCTGCCTAGAGCTATTCAGCACCCTGAAGTGCTCGGTCTCACACCTTCCCCAGGCTCCCCTTTCTCACTTCCAGCCCTACCAAAACCGCTTTGCTCTCCCAGAAGGGGAGATGGGGCTCAGCGGCGGTATCTCCTCAGATACCCCATAGTACGGTAATGTCAATGGTCACGTAGTGGACATGCTCAAGGAATGTTTCAAGACACAAAGTTAAAAATCTCAAAAGAAACTCTGGCAAAATAACAGAAGAGTAAAACACCAAAGTCAGGTTGAGGTATGTGCTGGAAGATGGGGTTACCTTTCCAGGTAACTCATATTAAGTGCGTATTCAGTTCCTTTGGGCCACTTCCACTTTCCTCGGTTTCCTCCCTTTATAGAAAGGTTAACCCAGAAATTCTTTAAAATATCAATGGTTGTTCCAGAGATCCCTCCTCACCTACCAACCCAATGAGACTTTGCAGGGGGCGGGGGGGGGGGGTGCGCAGAGGGAGTACCACAACAGAGAGAGAAAATGGCCCACCTGGATATGTCTCATGTAAGAGGCTGACCTTCAACCTAATACTAGTATAACACTGTTCATAATATATATAATACATAGTTGAGATAAATTACCATGTTATAAAAATATACAATAAAATCTTGTAAGAAACTTAGAGCTGACTGATGATTGATAATTCTCTTAAGAAAACAGACTACAATTTACATTATAGGCACTGGTTAATTCTATCAATTTTTTTTAATTCTCTTTGATTTTCTCTCCTGGTCTTCTGTTATCCTTTCTGCAGGTCGCTTCTTCAACCCCTTCATTTTCCTGGTTTGTAGTTTGCTTAGGTCTTGCTTCTGCATATGAATCCTTCCATAAGTCGTACCAAAAGTATCATGGGAGACATTTTTCTTCTTCTTTGGCTGTGAAATAAGAATATATATATGTATATAAATATACATAATAGTATCTACTATCATAGCCTTGTAAAAATCTAGTGTACAACTATGTTACTAACAATTCCCACTAGTGAGCACCTCCTTAAGAATATAGTCTATAACCCTAGAGACCTTTCTTCTCAAATACATACAGATGACTTGAGGATCTTGTTAAAATGCATGTTATAATTCAGCAAGTCTAGAGTAGGACCTGAGATTCAGCATTTCTAAGAATTCTCAGGTAAACTGTCAGACCACACTTTGGACAACAACACTATAGACTATGTTAACCATTGTCATGCACTGAGAGAATTTCCTGTGTTTAGCTTAAGGAATTGTGACTATCATTTCAATCTTTACTGGCATTCCAGAGATGCCATTTCTACTTGTTTTTAAGAACCATTCAGAAGTCAAAATACATTTTATCCAAGTATGGTTTACACAGCCTGTGCTCTAAATTCCCAATCTCCACATGCCTCAAACAATTCTCTTTCTTGCTGAAAACTGACAGTCTTGCTACCAGAAAGCTCTCAACCACAGCTAACGTGTGGTTTCTACAACTCTCTTATTATCCTTTATGGTTGTCTTACTTGCTGCTTCCTCCTTTTCTTTGTTCTGAGAGTCTAATTTTATCTCCATTATTGATCTCTGTCTGTCCTTTACTGTACTATCCTGCAAACCCTTTTTGGAAAGAAGAGTGGAATTTACAAATAAATATGGCAACAATATGCAAGTTATAAACCTTGAGGGCTTTTGGCATTTTCATAGATAATTTATAAAGATCATCTGAAGCCAGACGTGTCCTCCTCAGAACCAGATCCAACGAGGGCCCCATCTCTTCCAATTCAATCCTTGGTGTTCTACAACCGGATTTCTTCAGCAACAACCTGTATGAAGTACAAAAAAAAAAAAGGTCAAAAAATATATATATTGTTGAGAAACAAAGTGAGATGGACAATTCTAAGAAATGAAATTTTTTTTTTTAAAGATTTTATTTATTTACTTGAGAGACAAAGAGCATGATAGGGGGTGAGGAAGAAGCAGGCTCCCTGCTGAGCAGGGAGCCCGAAGATGAGGACACAAGGCTTGATTCCAGGACCTGGATGTAGATCATGACCTGAGCCAAAGGCAGATGCTTAATCAACTGAGCCAACCAGGCACCCCAGAAATGGAATCCTTTGATTTGATTTCTTCATCTTATTTATAGATTTACGTAATTATAAAAATTTATAGATTTACGTAATTATAAAAACAATTTCAAACTGGGCCTTTGAAACATTACGCTTACATAATTAACAAATTCTTATTTCTCTAACACTCCCATTCAGAATCTACTTTTGTCCATAGTACAGACACCTACTGATCTCTACTGATTGGAATGAACTTTAAAATCTTAATATGGGCAGCTCCGGTGGCGCAGCGGTTTAGCGCCGCCTGCAGCCCGGGGTGTGATCCTGGGGACCCAGGATCGAGTCCTGCATATGGCTTCCAGCGTGGAGCCTGCTTCTTCCTCTGCCTGTGTCTCTGCCTCTCTTTTTGCTCTCTCTGAATGAATAAATAAATAAATCTTTAAAAAAATAAAATAAAATCTTAATATAACAAAACCACAACTTTCTAGATTCCATACGTCCAAATAGCTCTGAATGTGGAAATAGATGAGGGACACAGTCGGGAGGAGGGGAAACTAACAAATTCCTTTTGTGAGTGATACCACAAGAACAGCTCAAAGACCTGATGATTTGAACTGACTCAATTTGTTATAGTGGCCAGATCTCAAGATGGAAAAAAAAGAATTTAATGAATAACAATGTTTATAAAAGATCAAACTTTTCACACTAAAGGTGCAATGTGAGAGAGGCAACAAATGACATGAGAGAGAGTAAAAGCACAGTAAGAAATACCAAGGAACAACAAACTCCAGGAAGCAGAAGTAGTGTTCAGAAGCTCATTAACAGCCCTTTGGGCCCCAAAGCATGACATGCAGACAGTCCACCCACTGGGAGGTGCACCTACTTGCTGTAAAAAGTCTTAATGATAAATATGCTGTATCAGACAGTTAGTTATACCAAACTGAACAAGGCAAAAACAAAACAAAAATCAACCTAGGATATATAAAAAGCAGAAGTGTTAACAACAACAAACAGTAAAAGATAACATGAATATTCATATAGGACTTGAGGGGAAAAGGCCAAAACAAGAGCTCTTAGGCCACTCTCTGCATAATGGGGGAATTTGCCTATCTCAGGGCCACTGTGGGGGAAAATATTTTTAGAAGCTCAAGTTGGTGATATCAGGGCATCTTTCCTAAAAGCTGATTCAAAGCATATGGTGGCAGTAACCCTTTGACTCTGTTGTAATTCATGTACTTCTGCATCCACATTTTCAATACATCCAAATAAATGATATTTATAAAACTGAACTCATAACAAGATTAGTATCTTGATTAGCATCTTGTGTTCAGTAGACTTAAGAAATCAGGGAACCTGTATATATAAAAATGGCAAACTAAAAATGTTTCTACCACTTAAGATGCTAATTTTCAGCTAAATGGAAAAGTTGTAGATCTAGAACAACCCATGGCATGCATGTCTGATGGATTCATTCACATTACCCAGGCACCTTTTATCTATACAAGTATCCTCCTACCAATAATTACTTCAATGGGCACGTTTACAAGAAAACTTTCTTCAGTTTTCAGTTTTCTATGTAAGGTTTCTGGTAATAGACCTATAATTCTTCTTCTTTATTAAACTTTTAACAGTGAAATCTAGAATCTAAAATTATTATTTCAGAATCCAAAATTATTATTAGTCTTTTAAGAAAACAATCTGTTTACTCCTTCTCAGAGGGAATGTATTTTTTAGAGTTTTTATTTAGAGGCAGCCCTGCTGGCTCAGCGGTTTAGTGCCACCCTCAGCCCGGGGACTGATCCTGGAGTTCAGGGATCGAGTCTCACGTCGGGCTCCCTGCATGGAGCCTGCTTCTCCCTCTGCCTATGTCTCTGCCTCTTTCTCTGTGTGTCTCTCATGAATAAATAAATAAAATATATTTTTTAAAGTTTTTATTTATTTGACAGAAAGAGCAAACAAAGCAGGGGGAGCAGCAGAGGAAGAGGCAGAAGCAGACTCCCCACCAAGCAGGGAGCCCAACATAGGGTTCGATCCCAGGACTGTGGGATCATGACCTGAGCAGAAGGCAGACACTTAACCGACTGAGCCACCCAGGAGCCCCAGAGGAAATGTATTAATAAAGACTTACAAATTATTTTTGTGATCCCTCTAAGCAAAAAGAAAAGACTGACACTGACTCATTAAAAAACTAAATTAAAACCCTTTCTTTCACCTCCATCCCATCATACACACTGCACTTTATTTTTAAAGATAGACATTTCATTTCCAGGCCATCATGTCTCCAGCCAAATACCTACACCCAAAACTGTTACATCAAATGCCTATTACTCTCCATCTCAGATCCTAACCTTAAGCTTCATTTCCTTTGGTCTCCCTATAAGCTCTAAATCAAAACTGACATTCAATTCTGCAAGACTGTATGGTACAAGACGCAGGGACACAAAGACAACCCAACTCCTTCCTTCTCACATGGGCTCAGGCTATTAGAGATGTTGATGGGTAATTTCTGTATCTTTTAAAACATTATCTGCCTATTTCTTGAGAAAGATTGCCAGTACCAATCTTGTTCAAGTTGTAATTTCCCTATTTTTCTCCCTTCCATAACCCTCTCTTCTGCTGATGTTGTTTTCATTACTTAAACTCCTTGCCTATGACACTATTTGCTTTTTAAGGTATGCTAATACTTCCTTGTTTTGCATGTTTCTCCCCATAGAACCTAATGAATGCCATGGTAAAGGCAAATGTGGCAGTTACTAAAAATTTCCTATATTATATTCATGGCTTTCACTTTACAGTGAATAAAATTCTCCAAGGAATATAAATGGTCACTTGCAAATGAAGAATTAATTAGCATATGATAGATACATGGGAAGAGGTCAGTACAATGATTCATTCCCTCCCAAAAGGTCAGATCAAAAGTTATACTAACATAATTTCATGTTTATACTTTTTCATCCAAAAAATTCAAAGCCACTTTCTAAGATTAAGTGTATTAATCTTCATAATGTGTATCAATGTTAACTGTTACCTTTTACTAATTACTTAAGGGCTGATTCCAAGTAAAAGAAAGAGGGCAGGACACCAAAGAAAGCATACCCTGCAAGAGTGCTTAAGGAGCCACACTAGGTCACACCACTTCTCTGGCATACTCCCACCTCTAACCGCAACCCTCTCCCTTTTATAAAGGAATTACTACTGATCTTAGAGGGACTGCAGAATTACCTAAATGGTCTCACCACCTTTTGCAAAAGAAAAATGGAGGCCTAGGTTATGAAGTGACCTGCTTAGGTAATGTGGCTAAGCCTGGCCCAGAGCCAGCTCACTGCTCAGAGGTGATGCTCATTCCTCAGACCACTGCTTTCTTCCTCTCCCAAGGGTGGCACAGCCCCTGCAGACTAACCTAATCTACATTGAATGATCCTACCCCCCCCCCGCCCCCGCAACTAACAGCTTGCTCTCAATCACACAGTCCATTTTCTATTATAAATCAATAGCTAGTAGGTATTACAGGGCCTACATAAAACACCTGGGATTAAATTTACAGTAGGGTCTCTCATCTTGAAAGTTCAAACTTATTTTTTTCACTATGGGACATGCTATGCTAACCTAATGGCAATTCCAACAATACTTCTTAAAGTAAGTGGATGGGTGGATATATGGAATTACACTGCTAATTTATCCATGTTCTGAAGTCTGATTTGCTAATTTTCTGTCCATTTTGTTTTCTCTGCATTTCTTTCTTCACAAATTAATATTTCTCACTAAATAGAAGTTCTGATACAAGTGAATACTCTTCTTTGAAACTGTTTACAATGAAAGAGTTTTAGATTACTGATGAATAATAATTCATCTCTCATTCAAAGATTTTGATTTTTATATTTTTAAGCTCCTTTGTAGCCCCAAGGTCTGCTGACACTTTTTTTTTTAAGATTTCATTTATTTATTCATGAGAGACACACAGAGAGAGGCAGAGACACAGGGAGAGGGAGAAGCAGGCTCCATGCAGGGAGCCTGACATGGGACTCGATCCCAGGACCCCAGGATCACACCCTGGGCCAAAGGCAGGTGCTAAACTGCTGAGCCACCCCCCGCCCCCAGGGATCCCCCTGACACAAGTTTTCAAAAAAATTTTTGTTATTGATTTTTCATCTTTCTTAATCTATAAATTGGAGTCATCTAACTTTATTATTATTTTTTTAAAGATTTTATTTATTTATTCATGAGACACACAGAAAGAGAGGCAGAGACATAGGCAGAGGGAGGAGATGCAGGCTCCATGCGGGGAGCCTGACGTGAGACTCAATCCTGGGAATCTGGGATCATGCCCTGAGCCAAAGCCAGACACCCAACCACTGAGCCACCCAGGTGTCCCATCCTCTAACTTTATAACGTAATATATTCTTCATAGCACCAAAGCTAACTTTGGAAACTTAAACAGACTTAAGGCTTTCAATCTCAACAAGCTCAAAAGATTACAAAATCGGTCTTGCTTTAAAAAAATAAAAATGATTATAAAATCTCTAATTAGATATTGCAATCATGTAGATATTTTATTGCATTTTGCCTACTATTATTATTTATCTAAACAAAAGCAAAACAGGAAAAAAGAAATGATACTAATCTAATCATGGTAAAAAGAGTATCTCTGACTCAATACAGTTAAGACAAAGATGGGAATTATTGATAAGCAGTGAATATTTACAAATAATTTATTTTAAATTAAAAATACACACACACACCATGCCTACCTCAAAAGGCACAATTGTAGCATGTCATTAAGCTTTTCAATGAAAATAAAATCAGTGTTAGGATTTATATTTATATTGTGGTAGAGGTAGGGCTAGGTCCAGGCTGGAGAAAGAGGGTAAAATGCATCTAGCCACTGAATCTTCTCATTCCTTTCAGATTCCAGTTTTTAGGTTCAGAGTTTTGAGATTTGCTTTGGCTGGCCTAAGACTTGTGGCTAGGTGCTTTAAATTCAGTGAGGTAAAAGAGGGGCATCTGGGTCGCTCAATTGGTTAAAAGTATCCGACTCCTGGTTTCAGCTCAGGTCATGATCTCATGGGTCATGGGATCAAGCCTTGTGTTGGGCTCCATGGGGTGTGTGCTTGGGACTTTCTCTCCTCCTCCCTCTGCCCTTCCCCCTCAGCTCCCCCTCAAATAAACAAAAGATCGAAAGAAAAGAAAGAAAGAGAGAGAAAGAAAAGGAGAAGAAAGAAGGAAGGAAAGGAAAGGAAAGGAAAGGAAAGGAAAGGAAAGGAAAGGAAAGGAAAGGAAAGGAAAGGAAAGGAAAGGAAAGGAAAGGAAAGGAAAGGAAATATTGCGTGAAGTAGGGTCAAGACTGAATCAGGTTCTAAGATCAGAGGAGTGTAGCATCAGATGCTCTGGGGTCCTGGAAAAGCAGGGTTTCAGAGGCAGAAGTGGGCAGGGGAATGACAGATTTGAGGATCAGCATAGATCTGCTGTGCCACTGCTAGTTTGCACGCTCTCCAAACAAACTTTTGACCCAACACCAATTTTAAGTTTAAGCTCTACAAAAGTCACACTGAAGTACTAACCCTGAATTCAAAAATATGCTAAGAAATGACTTACTTATAGCTTCGGAAGTAAATTTTCCCATTCAGTGCAGTGAAGTGCAGAACATACTCTAAACCAGCCAGACGGATATTTGATACTGTGGGGCCTCTGAAGAAATCTGAAAACAAATTTGAGAGTGTTAAAAAAAAAAAACAAAACTTTAACATGCTTGTAAATCCAGTTACAGAAAGCCACGCTGTAAAATGCTCCACATTGTATCAATATTCACCTAAAAAGATAAAAAGGTGGCATAAAAACTAATCCCTGAAGAATAGGAGTCCCATCCCTCTACCATTTAAGCTCATGACTTTACTGGTTAGTTCGTTGAACCATGGAATTTTTGACTTCTGAAGTTCTCACCCTAAGCCAATGCTTAGCATAGGAGTACACTGTATTTATATTAACTTTTTAAAAAATATAAGTCAAAACATAAAATTTTTATCTATGAGTCAGGTAGGTTAGATGCAAATTAAAAAAAAAAGATTTTATTTATTTATTTATGAGACACACACAGAGAGAGGCAGAGACACAGGCAGAGGGAGAAGAAGCAGGCTCCACACGCAGGGAGCCTGATGTGGGGCTCGATCCGGGGTCTCCAGGATCACACCTTGAGCCAAAGGCAGATGCTCAACCACTGGGCCACCCAGGCGTCCCAAGATGGCAAATTTCTATGAGGCACCTGGGTGGCTTAGTCAGTTAAGCATCGACTCCTGATTTCAGCTCAGGTCATGATCTCAGGGTTGTACGATCCATCCAGGCCTCCATTGCTTAAGATTGTCTCTCTTCCTTTCCCTCTGCCTCTTGTCCCCCCCTCCACGCCCATATTCTCTCTCTCCCTCTATCTCTCTCTCGTAAATAAATAGTTAAAAAAAAAAAAAGATGGCAAGTTTCTATTAAAACAGGTGTTCAGGGGCATCTGGGTGGCTTAGTTAGTTAAGCATCTGACTCTTGGATTTCAGCTCAGGTCATGATCTCAGGGTTGTGAGAGCGAGCCCCAAGTAGGTCTCCACACTCAACAGAGTCTGCTTGTCTCTCTCTCCCTTTGCTCTTCCTCCTGCATGTGTGATCTCTCTCAAATAAATAAAAGCTTAAAACACACACACACAAAACCCAGCTATTCAAACTTTGAATATTAAATCAAATTTGCCTTTGTTTTCTAGTAGAGGCCAACATGGGAGAAAATTCTAACAAGAAATCTCAATTATATGATCAAAGATAATAAACTAAATTGTTAAAACCAGAAAAGAACCACAGAGATCCATGAGTAGACTGTATTCCCAGTGTGGTCATCCTACCACTGATAGCACATGAAATGATCTTAAGTGATACACAGCAGATATAATTTACTATGTATTAATCATTTTATCAGATACCATTTTCCATTCATGGTAGAGCCATAAAGTTTCCCTGTAAAAAAAGGAGTCAGGGTAAAGAAACCTCCCCAGTGAACAACACTATGAACACTACATGGGCTTGGCTAGTGTTATGAAGGTAGCATAGGAATGAAAGAAGTCTGAAAAACAGCAATCAAGTTTGGTCCTCTCAGTATACAGCTATGTAGACTGAACCCCGAAGAGGCTAAATGGAAGTACACAAAAACATTTAGCTAAGAAACAGTTACACATAAAAATTTACTCAACTTGGGGATCCCTGGGTGGCTCAGCGGTTTGGCGCCTGCCTTCGGCCCAGAGCGTGATCCTGGAGTCCCAGGATCAAGTCCCACATCAGGCTCCTTGCATGGAGCCTGCTTCTCCCTCTGCCTGTGTCTCTGCCTCTCTCTGTCTCTCTGTGTCTCTCATGAATGAATTTAAAAAAAAAAATCTTTAAAAAAAAAAGATTGTATGTAAAAAAAAAAAATTTACTCAACTTAATTACTTAGGAAGAATTACAAGGCAAGTGATGTGGTAAAGAGATTGTCCCAATTTGTAGCCACCCAGCCATTTTTTGTCTCTCTTCTGATTAGCTCAGAAGGGAATCATCTTATGCATGGACATACACATCCTTTGTTGTTTGCATTTTCTTTTTTGTGGTTAATTGAAAGAAAATCACTAACGTGAATAAAATAGACACAAGTGTATATGCACATATATACACCACCCTTCTCTACTCTCCCAAACAAAAATCTCTCTCAGGGAAATTTTTATAAACAAAGTATGTACTTTTTCAAGGTATTCTCTCTCTCTTTTTTAAAGATTTTCTTTATTTATTTGACAGAGAGAGAGAGAGAGAGAGAGAGAGAGAGAGAACACGCACAAGAGTACAAGCAGGAGGAGTGGCAGGCAGAGGGAGGAGAAGCAGACTCTCTGTCCAGCAGGGAGCCCAACATGGGGCTCAATCCCAGGACCCTGGGATCATACCCTGAGCTGAAGGCAGTTGCTTAACACTGAACCCACTGAGCCTCACAGGCGCCCCTCAAGGTATTTTGACCTAAATTTGCAACATAATTAATGAAGAAGTTTCCAATGATTTTGTCACAATCTGACTCTCCTTCAGGGGCCAAGTTAATAAAGCCTGCTTACTGTGTTGGTAACACTAATAAAGTCAGTCTTTCTGTAAGATATGTACATTTCTGTTTACCTTGAAACAGCTTTTGTAATGCAAATGCTACAGGCATATATGTTTTTTTCCATAAGCGTTTAAAAATGCAAAGGAAGGGGCGCCTGGGTGCCATAGTTGGTTGAATGTCAAACTCCTGGTATCAGCTCTGTGCAGTCTGCTTAAGACACTCTCCTTCTTTCCCTGCACCCCACCTCTGAAAGAAGTAAACAAATGAAAAGAACACAAAGGGAAAAAAAGAAAGAATGAAAAGAAGGCAAAAAGGTTTAAGAACATCGACTCTTCCTTCACACCATACACAAAAACTAACTCAAAATGGATCATAATTAAACGTAAAATCTAAAACTCTTAAGACTTCAAGAAGAAAATCTTGGAAAAAAATCTTTGTGATCTTGGGATAAGCAATGGATTCTTAAACGTAATATAGGAAGAACATACCATTACAGAAAAAAAATGGAAAAAAGACTTCACAAAAATTAAAAACATCTGCTCTTTGAAGACATCATTAAAAGAAAAAAGCAAGCCACAGACTGGGCGGAAACATTCAAAAATTACATGTCAGACAAAGAGACAAAGGATCTCTCTCTCTCACACACTCATATCCCTACTTTATTACACACACACCCCACACCCCTCTTAGTGCCCAAGAAGATAAGTAACCTCCAAAAATAAATAAATAAGGCAAAGATTTGAAGACACTTCACCAAAGATATACGAATGGCCAATAGGCACATGAAAAGATGTTTAACATAATTAGTCATCAGAAAATTCAAATTACAACTTCAATAATAGCACTACTTTACTTTGTAGATTTGACTCTAGAAACACACTACTATCAGCATAATGTAGTATTGGCAAGGACATGGAACACCTGGAGCTCTCATATACTATTCGTGGGAATGTAAAATGGTACAGCCATATTACAGAATAGTTTCTTTAACTGTTAAACAAACACTATTCAAATGACCCAACTATTCCATTCTTTTTTTTTTTAAAGTATCTAATCTTTTTTTTTTTAATTTTTTATTTATTTATGATAGTCACACAGAATGAGAGAGGGAGGCAGAGACATAGGCAGAGGGAGAAGCAGGCTTCATGCACTGGGAGCCCGACATGGGACTCGATCCCGGGTCTCCAGGATCGCGCCCTGGGCCAAAGGCAGGCACCAAACTGCTGCGCCACCCAGGGATCCCCAACTATTCCATTCCTAGCTAGGGATTTACCCAAAAGAAATCAGAGCATTATGCCCTCACAAAAATTTGTACACAAATGGTCACAGCAGCTCAACTGATTAAAAAAAATTTTAAGATTTAATTTATTTACTCATGAGAGACACATAAAGAGAGAGGCAGAGACACAGGCGGAGGGAGAAGCAGGCTCTGTGGGGGAGCCTGATGTGAGACTCGATCCTAAGACCCCGGGACCACGACCTGAGCAGAACAGAGGCAGATGCTCAAGCACTGAGCCACCCAGGTGTTCCCTGACTAAAATTCTAATCTAATCAAAAGCTGCGATCAATCTAAATGTCCAATGACAGATGAAGAAATAAACAAATTGAGGAATAGCTCTAAGTAGAATACTGCTCAGCAATAAAAAGAAATGAACTAATGATACAGCAAATCTCAAAACTGAGTGAAAGAAACCAGACCAAAACAACTACATACTGTATGATCCTATTTACCTAAAGCTCTACAAAATGCAAATAATCCATAATGACAGAAAGCAGATTAATGTTTGCTTAGAATACAGAAACAGGATAGATTGCAAAAGGCACAGGCTAATTTTTGGGTGTAACTGGTTCTGTATCTTGACTTCCATGGTGTTTTCACAGGTATATACATGTCAAAATCCATGAAATTTTAAAACTTCAAATATGTAGACTTCCTTGTATGTAAATTATGCCTCAAAAGCTGTTTATAATTTAAAATGAAAAAATGTAAAGTAATACTTAAAAATAAAAAATGAACCTTTGTACTGATCATGATTATACAGAAAAGAACTATTTCAAGTGACTTCAAAACACAGTGATTTGGGGACACCTACGTGGCTCAGTCGGTTTAGTGTCCGACTCTTGATTTCTATTCAAGTCATGGTCTCAGGGTCCTGGGATTGAACTCCTCGTAGAGATGCACCCTCAGCGTGGAGTCGGCTTGAGATTCTCCCCCTCCCTCTTCCCACCTTTAAGCTTTCTAAATAAATAAATAAATAAATAAATCTACCTTAAAAAAAAACAAAAACCACAGTGATTTGACCATATATTCCTTTTTCTTTCTTTCTTTTTTTTTTTTTTTTTAGGGGAGAGAGAGCAAGAGCAGAGCAGGGGGAGGGACAGAGAGAAATCCAAAGCATGCTCCACACTCAATATAGAACCTGACACAGGGCAGCCCCGGTGGTGCAGCGGTTTGGTGCTACCTGTAGCCTGGGGTGTGATCCTGGAGACCCGGGATCAAGTCCCGCCATCGGGCTCCCTGCATGGAGCCTGCTTCTCCCTCTCCCTCTGCCTGTGTCTCTGCCCCTCTCTCTCTGAGTCTATGAATAAATAAAATCTTAAAAAAAAAAAAAGGGGGGGAACCTGACACAGGGCTCAATCTCATTACCCCAAGACCATGACCTAAGCAGATACTGAAATCAAGAGTTGAGTGTTTAGGGATCCCTGGGTGGTGCAGCGGTTTGGTGCCTGCCTTTGGCCCAAGGCGCGATCCTGGAGACCCGGGATTGAATCCCACATCGGGCTCCCGGTGCATGGAGCCTACTTCTCCCTCTGCCTATGTCTCTGCCTCTGCCTCTCTCTCTCTCTCTCTCTCTCTCTCTCTCTCTCTCTGTGTGTGTGTGTAACTATCATAAATAAATAAAATTTAAAAAAAAAAAAGAGAGACTACTGTATGGTTAGTACAATATAAAATAAATACATTAATACATTATTACATTGGATCACTGAGAACCTGGATTTTTTGTCATGGATGAAAGAAGGTACATACGTGAAATCAATGAAGTTAAGATCTTATTGTCCTAAATTTGAGTTAGAAATTTCAATATGAACTGAGGAATATGTTTTATCTTAACAAACAAAACAGATTTCATAGTTCTGTTCACTAAAAAAGTGTACAAACAAGACCAGTCATGAAACAATCCCTAGCACACAGACTGTGATTTCTAAAATAATTTCTCAATTTAAAAAAGTTCAGGGCTCCTTGGAGAAACAGGTGATTCCAGAAATGGAGCAATGAAAGTATAGGAGGAATCTGAAAAATCAAAGGGGCAATGAATTAAAAGGTATCGAAACTCAGAACATTGCTGAAAAGACTGATCCTAAAATGGGCAGGAATGATGGTTGAGATTAAAAAGAGATATTATTAAGTACAGATAAAGATAAAAACCTGGTTAAATAGAAGATAAATTGGTAATGGTTGGAAGGAAAGCCCCAGCTTGGACCTTTTCTCAATGGATCAATTCCAAGTAAAAATAAGATCTCAGGTGTGGCTGTGTGTCCATGAGTAAAACTGAGAAAGGGCACAGAAGTTTCATTAAGACACTGATGGGAAAGACCAAGAGATCTGAAGTTAGAGAATACATCAGATCCTGATTCTCTACTTTAGACAAATAAGTTAACTGATCTCAATTTCTTCATCTACAAGGGAATATTACCATAATAAACTGATTTTTGCTCCCTCTACCCTCCAATCCCTGCCAAATTCATAGCTAAAGTCCTAACTCCTAATGTAACTGCCTCTAAGGAAGAAATTAAGGTTAAATGAGGCATGTCAGAAGGTTGGGTTCTGGTCCCATAGGATAGTGTCCTAAGAAGAGAACCTACAAAGCTGACACTCTCCCTCCTTTCTCTCCCTTCCTTCCTCCCACGCAGACATGAAGGAAAAACCAGGCGAGTACACTAGCAAGAAGCCAGTAAGAGTCTCATCAGAAATTCTGATCTTGGACTTCCGCCACCAGAACTCTGAGAAAAAAAAAAACCATCCGGTATATGGTATTTTTTATAGCAGCCCAAGTAGACTAATATGATTACCTTTGTAAAGTTGCAGATTACCTGACCTAATCTATGGCAGTTATTTTCAATATATTTTTTTCAAGTAGAGTAAGAATTAGGAAATGAGAAAGGTTAAAAAAATTAAAATCAACACTGATATAGAGAAAGGCAATTAGAAAAAACAACCCAGTTAGGTAGTTAAATTTTAAGGCAGACTTTAAAGGAACATTTAATAAAACTAACCTATTACTTGATATACTGTCATCTTTGTATATAAGAAATAGTATTATCAAAAAGTAACCAGGGACGCCTGGGTGGCTCAGTGGTTGAACATCTGCCTTTGGCTCAGGTCGTGATCCTGGGGTCCTGGGATCAAGTTGCTCATCGGGCTCCTTGCAGGGAGCCTGCTTCTCCCTCTGCCTATGTCTCTGCCTCTCTCTTTCTTTGACTCTCATGAATAAATAAAATCTTAAAAAAAAAATAATAACCATAAAAATTAGGATGCAATCTAAAAACAGATATTTTACTGATTTCCTATAAAGAAAAGCAAGACCACTAAGATTCACTACAAATCTACAGAGAATATTTAAGAAAGCAAAACAAAAACAAAATTCAGAATGAACATGGGTTCCAGGCATAAAAACACTGAAGTTATTAATAAGTTAACTTTTCTTTCTGGCCAATTGCAAAAACAAAAAAAAAAAAAAAAAAAAAACAAAAAACCCCAAAACTTCCTAAAAGGAAGGAAGCCCTTGATAATAAAATTCTCTTTACCTACTGTTCTACTTTATTTCATATGAAAACAAAACATACACCAAGGACTCTGCAGCTGGTCTTACTTCCTATTTATGTTAAAAACTAACTTCCCTTGGGACTTGACAATCTCACTTCATTCCTCTACCTTTCTTCTTTCCCCAGATTCCTTTTCAGTTTTCACTCCCTTCCCTTCACCATTGCATTATATGAGTTATTCCTGCCATCTAGTGGAAACACGAAATAAGTTTTTATAAAAACCACTTAAAAGCAAATGAAAGCCTCTCTTTTAATAAGTATGTACTAACAGTTAACAATTATACAGAAGAAGTAGGGGGAAGAAAGGCAGAAAATCTGCACCAATGGAGTACAAGAAAAAGGAAATCTTGACTAAAAATCACCTTGATATTTTGGGGTGTGTAATATTCAAAGAAGGAAATATTGGTCACTGCCTTTCATGCATTTTTTTTTTAATTCATGAAAAATTCAAGTAAATCTATAGCAAAGGCTGCAATGAGTCAATTGTTCAGCATAGGCAAGACAGTGGAGGCAGAGAAGCTCAGGCTTTGGTTTTCATTTTGGCTCACCTACTTAACAGCTCTTAACCTCTCTAAGCTTCCATTTTCCCACCTGTAAAATGGAGTATCACTAAACTCAAGAGCTTTAGTAAGGTTTTAACAGGTTACAACACTACTCAGGTTTTCTTTTTTTTTTTCTTCTTAAAAGGTAATTTTTTAATTACTTTTTAAAGTAATCTGTACACCCAATGCAGGGCTTGAACTCATAACCCCAAGATCAAGAGTCTGATACTCTACCAACTGAGCCAGCCAAGTGTCCCCCAAATAGCCATTATTAACAAGAGAAATGAAAAGTTTTGAAAATTGCAATCTCAACAATAAGACCATAAATAATCACAAGGAAAATGAAAGCAATGTGTCTGCCCACAAATGTTTTTCAGTTGGCTCAGGTTTTTTTTTTTTTTTTTTTTTTAGATTTATTTATTTTAGAGAGAAAGAGAATGTAAGTGTGGGGAAAGGGCAGAGGGAGAGAGAGAATCCTCAAGCTGACTCCCCACTGAGCACAGAGCCCAACACAGGACTCTGGGATCACAACCTGAGATCACCACCTCAATCAGCTGCTTAACTGCCTGAGACACCCAAGGATCCCAGTTGGCTTAGATTCGTAAAGAGCATGTCTGTAATTTAATTTATTTATAATAGGTAGTTTTTCCTGCCCATAGGTCCTGTTCCTGTTAATAAAAACAATGTGCACCAAAAAATAATAATTTATTTGTAACATATACTCCATCAACTTTCCAAAAGTAGTCTAGGGCAAAGTATATATAAAAAGCCAAAAGAAGTGCAACCAAAACACTGCAGAAAAGCTTGTAAGAATGGTGCAAGAAAAGCTCAAATGGAATAAATTATTTAAACTTGAAAAAAATGTTAGCATATCAGAAGAGTTTATATCCCTAGGGACAAACCAAATTACTCTCCAGAGTTAGAAAAGAGCTGGCAAATGTGATCACAAAATTTTAAGTAGGATTAATATTAGCAACCTTTAAGAAATTACAGAGAACAATAATGGCAGCTTTTCAATAAAGGGGAGAAAAAGTGATTTAAAATAGGTAAACTTAATGTCAATCCCAGACAATGACAATAAATATATGCTGGATTTTAAGGTGACTTCTGAACACATAGGAAAAGATACAGTCAATACATAAATCATTGGGAACAACGGTAGCTGACTAAGAATAAGTCATCTGTAAGACAACCTTACAAGATTATGAGAATAAAGCTTATGAAAATCAAGCTACATATAAAGTACCTAGTACACGCCTGGCACTTAGGGATGACAATGATAATGAGATAAAAGGAGCTGGGAAGTCGGGACGTATGGGTGGCTCAGTGGTTGAGCATCTGTCTTCGGCTCAGGGCGTAATCCTGGGGTCCTGGGATTGAGTCCCACCTTGAGCTCCTTGCAGGGAGCTCGCTTCTCCCTCTCCCTACGTCTCTGCTTCTCTCTTTGTTCCTCTCATAATAAATAAAAAATAAAATCTTAAAAAAAAAGAAAAAGAGCTGGGAAGTCACTGAAGGTTTCCAGGGAAGAAACTTGATCTGAAACTTGCAAGAATCAAAGAAATTAGGTAAATAAGAATGAAATCAGAAAAAAAAAAAAAAAAAAAAAGGAATGTACCTAATATATTTTCAATAAGCCACTTTTTTAATGGAAAAAGGAGGGAGGAAATTAGGAGAGATTAGAAAAAGCAAAACAAAACTAAGTTATAAAGAGTTATAGTGTAAAAAGCCCAGACTAAGAAAAATAAGACTAAGAAAAATTAAAAAATTAATAGAGGCTTTTGAGTTCAAAGCAGATGATGTATAATTATCTTAAAATTTAACTTTTCAATTTTCTAAATTTACTTTAATGATGCCAATAATGATGGGATATGGGTATAAGCATTTCATAAAGCATAAAACACTTTATAAATAGGTTGATACTGAAGTTACTACAACATCAAAAAATAATAATGGTCTATGTAGTAAAGAATCCCTTAACTTCTCCCCTGCTCCTAGTGGGGAATAAAGCAAATAATGAAAACGGGGAAAAAAGAAAGAGATCATAATAAAGAAAAAGCTGTGTATCTACAGTCAAGTGGCAAAGTGCTACCAATGACAGCCCTAGATTGCCTACCTCAGCTACCCTGGGGCTAAGAAGTACTAAAATGCTTACCAATAAGAAGATTTTTCAGCCTTCTATAGTCTTCTGTTACATCAAAATCATCACCAGCAAATATTAACATGGGTTTTGTTCCCTCGGGACATTTACTATTCTAGGAAATGAAAAAAAAATGATATAATTATCAACTCTAAATTGTTTATAAGCTGATTTTAAAGTAGTCAATACTTTCTTTATGGCGGTGGACGCCACTGAGTAAGTAACCTTTGTTAAAGTCTCCCCTCCCATTGCTGTCATGTCTAAGTCAGCATCTCCCAAAGAGTCTGAGCAGCTTCAGAATCTCTGTAAGAGGTTTGAGCTTTAAAATAACTGATGAGGGCAGCCCGGGGGGCTCAGCGGTTTAGCGCCGCCTTCAGCCCAGGGCGTGATCCTGGAGACCCGGGATCAAATCCCATGTCGGGCTCCCTGCATGGAGCCTGCGTCTCTGCCTCTCTCTCTCTGTGTCTCTCATGAATGAATAAATAAAAATCTTTATAAATAAATAAACAAACAAACAAACGAACTGATGAAAGTCGGAGGAGCCATTTTGAGCAATGGGGAACGCTTACAGACTGTGCGTAATGAGGGATCCAAACATCACGTGCTCCAGAGGCTTTGGTCATGTATGCCATTGTGGAGGAGGTGGATGCAGCCATGAATGCAAGGCCACACCAAGTGGATGGAGGAGTTGCGGGACCAAAGAGGGACGTCTCAAGAGAAGATTCTCAAAGCCCACTTAACTGTGAAAAAGCTTTTTGATGGTAGCATTAAAGAAGACACTGAAGAACATCATCTAAGAGATTATTTTGAACAGTATGGGAAAATTGAAGTGACTGAGATCATGACGTGACTGAGGCCGTGGCAAAAAGAGAGGTCTTGCTTTTGTAACATTTGACGACCATGACTCTGTAGACAAATTACATTCAAAAACACCATACTGTGAATGGCCACAACTGTGAAGTAAGAAAGCCCTACTGAGCAAGAGATGGCTAGTGCTTCCTCCAGAGGTCGAAGTGGTTCTGGAAACTTTGGTCGTGGTTGTGGAGGTGGTTTTGGTGGGAATGACAAGTTTGGTCGTGGAGGGAACTTCACTGGGTGAGGTGGCTTCAGTGGCAGTCGAGGTAGTGGTGGATACGGTGGCAGGGGGATGGCTCTAACAGATTTGATAATGATGGGAACAACTCTGGAGATGGTGGAAGCTATAATGATTCTGGTGATTACAACAATCCATCTTCAAATGTTAGACCCATGAAAGGAGGAAATTCTAGAGGCAGAAGCTCTGGCCCCTATGGTGGTAGAGGCCAATACTTTGCCAAACCACAAAACCAGGGTGGCTATGGTGGTTCCAGCAGCAGCAGCAGCTAAGGCAGTGACAGAAGGTTTTAATTACTGCCAGGAAACAAACCTTAGCAGGAGGCAAAGAACCGACAGGGAAGCTACAGGTTACAACAGATCTATGAACTCGGCCAAGCATAGTGGTGGCAGGGTGTAGCTGCTACAAAAAAAAAGAGATATTCAGACACTACTCATGTGTATGGGCAAAAAAAAACTCGAGGACAGTATTTGTGAATAATTGTGTAACAGGTTAGTTTCTGTTCTGTGGAAAATGTAAAGCATTCCAACAAAGGTATTTTTTTTAAGATTTTATTTATTTATTCAGAGAGAGAGAGAGAGAGAGAGAGAGAGAAAGAGAGAGAGAGAGAGAGAGAGACGCACAGGCAGAGGAAGAAGCAGGCTCCATGCAGGGAGCCTGACGTGGGACTGATCCAGGGTCCCCAGGATCAGACCCCGGGCTGGAGGCGGCGCTAAACCGTTGTGCCACCGGGGCTGCCCAGCAACAAAGGGTTTTAATGTAGATTTTTTTTTTTTTTTTTGCACTCATGCTGTTGATTGCTAAATGTGGTAAGTCTGATCATGACACTGAGTAAATGTGTCTTTTTAAAAAATGTGCCGTGTAAAGTTAGTCTGCTCTGAAACCATCTTGGTAAACTACCCCACCAGTGCAAAGTTAGAATTCCTTCAGGGTGACACCAGGTTCCATCCTAAATTTATTTGCAATCTGTTTGGGCACAGAAGCCACCGTCTCCACAAACCTCAGTGTAGGTGAACTGACAGTTAATGCGTTGTGACCTGGAGTTCACCGTTCAAAAGGTGGCCCAAGCAAAGTCCTGGAGTTTATTTGGTTATTATGATTTTGACACATCCTATGCAATATATCTAAATCGAATTATGGTATCAGATAAAATTATAGATAGGATTAAAGCTTGTGTATCGTCCATTATCATGTGTAATCAATAAGCGACTTAAAAAAAAAAAGCGACTTAATACTCTCCCCAAAAAATCAAAATTATTTTGTAAGTAGTCAATACTTACAGTGATTCATTCTCATATTTTGACTATCCTAAAACTATATTTATGAACAGTGAATAAAAGCTAAAGACTTAAGACTGTATTTTCAACTTTTAAGCTAAAATAATTTTCTGTTTCATTCCCTCACATTGCAAATGAACAAGTGGTCAAAGAATGACACAGGCTACTTTTTAACATTATTCTATACTAAGAATAAAATAAAAAGCTAAAACTGCTGCAAAACATACATAGCCCTTTAATAGCCAACATCCCAGAGTCCAAAGTTAATTTCTTTAAATTATTTACTACCACTGTTGCCTTTCCTACTGAATCACATAAACAGTATTTTTAAATGAAAGCTAATGTAAACAACCAACTAAACATTCACATGAAGTAACAGAATTTCATACAACCTATAGCTAGTAGGGGCAATCCTTACTCAACATGGTTGAAGCTCTTACTATAAAAGATTTTCACCAGTTTGGGATTTTGTATACAAAGAATGTGATATGAATAATAAAAACCTTTAAAAGCCACCAAAATAAAAGAAAAAATCTAATAGAAAAAATTATTTAACTGAATGATGAGTTTATGAAGGCGAATGGGTGTTAGTCTGAACTTTCCATTGATTCTAAGCACCTCTACTCTGGTTCCAATTAAGGACTGTACAAATCTAGAAACAAACAGACAAGAAACAAACATCCTCTGCCCTAGGACCAGATGTCACCTGTTGCTTCCCTGTTCACCATGACTTTTCTTGACATTCTCTGCTTTAAACTCTGAACCTTAACTCTCTACACTTAGGACGTGTGCCTAAGATCTGTCTGTGTGATCTGGGGCCTGAGTGGACCCACCAGACCCATTGATTCTTCCACTTACTGTCTGTGCCAACCTGACCCAGCTGCTCCTGCTCCCAGGTCTATGGGGCCTGTTAAGTGTACAGACGGTAGGAGAGAGTGACACAACAAACATCCTGACCACAATGTGTAGTGATAAGCATCATTCTATGACCCAGAATACACATCAAAAAAATATGACTGAACAAGTTATATGAAACAGTATTTAACATTTCGGTCACTAATATTTTTCACAGTGTGAAAACCCAGAACTAGAAGAAACTACAACAGATGAGCTTTATCTGAATAGTCTGGAAGGCACTAAAAATTCAAAATACTATATTAGTATTATGACTATAGTAAACTAAAAACATCGTAATTATGTGACATTCTTGAACTAACAGTCTGAATTAAGTTTTTTAAAAAGATTATTTGAGAGACAGAAAGGGCGAGTACAAGCAAGCATACACAGTGAAGGGCAGAGGAGAGAGAGAAACTTAAGCAGACTCTGCGCTGAGCATGGAGCCCAATGTGGGGCTCAATCTGAAAACCCTGAGATCATGTCTAAGATGAAATCAAGGGTCAGATGCTTAACCTACTATGCCACCCTACTGCCCCTGAATTAAGCTTTTTTTTTTAACAGAAAAAAGGAAATAATTCTAATAAGTCATATACATACTTCCAAAATAAAATGTCCCCAGGCACCTGCAATATATATCTTATCCTATCTAAAATAAAACCAGGGGATCCCTGGGTGGCGCAGCGGTTTAGCGCCTGCCTTTGGCCCAGGGCGCGATCCTGGAGACCCGGGATCGAATCCCACTTCGGGCTCCCGGTGCATGGAGCCTGCTTCTCCCTCTGCCTATGTCTCTGCCTCTCTCTTTCTCACTGTGTGCCTATCATATCATATCATATCATATCATATCATATCATATCATAAAATAAAATATAAAATAAAATAAAATAAAATAAATAAAAATAATAAAATAAAATAAAATAAAGTAAAATAAAATTAAAACCAACTAGCCTTAAATTTTAATCATCTCATTCATTAAGGCTAATTTTACATAAAATAACCATCCCTAGAAGTTTGGCCACATCTTAGAACATAGATTCCTAGAATGACTCAATTTCCTGGTAGAATTGAATCACCTGTTGCTTGAGAGTAAATAGGAGGATGAGGTTTGGCCTGGCAATAAAAACAGGCAAGTGAAAAAAGAAATACTGGTGGAGAGGTCTTGAAAATAAGGAGGTAGATGTGAAAAAGAGATACTGTAACATGCAATTCCAAAACAAACTAAAAATGGAAGGCTATAATGGAATAAGAGGTACAAGTGAAGGTCTAACTAGTAGTCCGGGGGGGGGGGGGCGTGGTACTTGGGCAGCTCAGTTGGTTGAGCATCTGCCTTCGGCTCGCTCAGGTTATGACCCCAGGATTCTAGGATAGAGTCCTGTGTCCCACTCCCTGCTCAGCAGGGAGCTTGCTTCTCCCTCTCCCTCTTCCCCCTGCTCATGCTCTCTCTTTCTCTCTCAAATAAATACATAAGTAAAGGGGCACCTGGGTGGCGCAGTCGGTTAAGCATCTGCCTTCGGCTCAGGCCATGATCCCAGGGTTCTGGGATGGAGCCCCATATCAGGCTCCCTGCTCATAGCGGAGTGCTTCTCCCTCTCCTACCTGCTCATGCTGTCTCTCACCATCTCTATTGCTATCCCTGTCTCTCTCTCTCAAATAAATAAATAAAATCAGGGATCCCTGGGTGGCTCAGTAGGTTTGGTGCCTGCCTTCAGCCCAGGGCCTGATCCTGGAGACCCGGGATCAAGTCCCACATCAGGCTTCCTGCATGGAGCCTGCTTCTCTGCCTGTGTCTCCGCCTCTCTCTCTCTCTCTCTCTCGGTCTCTCATGAATAAATGAATAAAATCTTTAAATAAATAAATAAGAATGAATGTAAGAATTTAAAAAAATAAACTTAAAAAAAAATAATAAAAAAATAAAAATAAAAATAAAAAAATAAACTTAAAATAACAGTCTGTGTAGAAACTGCCAATGTAAGCATAGTGACTTTTACAGTTATGGATATGCTTCACGAGTGAACACTTAGTATTCAATTTAAATGGCTCTTGTTAAGAATAAGATCTGACAATAATAGTTCTGTGGTCTGATATAGAAGCTACACAGTATTGGAAGTATTTATTTGCTTAGGAAGTGAAATGCAAAGAGTGGAGGAGTTGGCATGCATAATCAGCCAGTGCTCACACCCCACTAACTGGTGACCAAGTTAGCAACAGTGAAGGTGAAATGGGGATACAGTGCTCATCTCCAAGGAGTCATGAATTGCCCTAAAGATAAACTGTAATAAAATGATAGCTCCCACCATAATAAAGCATCAGTTTACACACTTTACCAAACACCTTCCAAAGTATCATCTTCACTGATTAGCATTTTCACATATATCATCTCATTTGATATTGTTATATCTATTTAATTTTTTTAAAGATTTATTTATTTATTTGAGAGAGGGGGAGAGTATGAGCAGGGGCAGAGGAAGAGGATCTCAAGCATATTCCCCACTGAGCATGGAGCCTGAAGAGGCTTGATCTCACGATCCTGAGATCATGACCTGAGCAGAAATCAAGAGTTGGACACTTAACTGATTAAGCCACCAAGTTGCGCCTGGTATTGTTATATACCTATTTAATACTTGATTGCGATTGAAGGTCAAGGAAGTAACTGATTTGTCATGTCACAAAAAATCATCTAAATGGCAAGCACAAACCTTCAACCCAAACATTCTGTCTCTAAATCTAATCTCAGGCCACTGTTCTACCTTGTACCTGAAGAAGCTGCTGTCGCTAAGTAAGGAACTGGTAAGAGCCTTTCTCAAACCCACTGAAAACTTGGAAGGCAGTCCTCTTTTTAGGGGAGCCTAGGAAAAGGAGTCATTATATATTTTACAATTCCCAACTATACCATGACCCTCAAAGACCCACAAATAAGAACAATTATGTAACTTTCCATTACAAAATTCAATACGTATTCTTTCAACACTCTGGTTATACCATTTACTACATGTATGACTCCAGGTCACCAAGAGAATTCCTCTGGGGCTTAATCCCCAAATCTACATAATAGGGAAAGTAATTTCAGCCTTACACAGGGTACCTCCTAAATCTAAATGAAGTAACGATTTGATGGAACAGAAGCCAGAAGCAGAATTCTGAGAGAGCAGAAGCCCCGTTTGGACCCAGAAGCAAAATCAGGACAGTTTTCTTGCCTTTCTAAGACTATTTACTACCTTCTATTTTATAATACCATTCAAACAAAGGAGTCACAAAGATGCAAAACCTAAGTACTGAACTAGCATTCTGCTGGCCAGCAGCCTAACTACTGTAGGATCAGCTAAAGTATCCTAGGTTTCAAACAGGGCTCACTTTTAAAACTCTGGTATTTCTGAAATTCCATAAAATAGGTGCTGTGACAATTCAGAGGGAGAGGATAGCATGTAAACTGTGGGCCCAGACAAGAGTTAATAATTACTCTGAAGTCTGTCAGGAGATCCCCATATGTATTATATTCTCTCTCTATATATAGGTAGGTAGGTAGATAGGTAGGTAGATAGATAGATAGATAGATATAGATATATTTTAAATATACATATATTTTTTAAGATTTATTTATTCATGAGAGACACACAGAGAGGCAGAGACACAGGCAGAGGAAGAAACAGGTTCCCTGTGGGGAGCCCGATGTGGTAGTTGATCCCAGAACCCCAGGATCATGCCCCAAGCTGAAGGCAGATGCTCAACCACTAAGCCACCCAGGAGTCCCAACGGACCTTATTTTAAAAGATAAAATGAAACTCGCTTTTTTTTTTTTAATCTCGGAGCACAGAATAAAAATAGTTTTAAGTTACAGAACTGTAACAGTACTCTTCACCACAAGATGTCACTATTGCCCAAGAGCAATATTACAAAATGCTTTTTACTTTTATGCTATCTTACCTTAACATCTTTTAGAGAGACAAACTTCTCGATACCTAATTCAATCATATCCAGCACATGGTAATCATACATACGACCTAGAAGGAAAATACATTTTCTTGTAAGCATTTATTTTTCCCAAACATCCAACTTTAATGGTATGTTAAAACTGGCATGTTCAAAATGTTAGAATCTGCCTCCTTTTTTCTTCTTAGGCCCCACCAAATATGTTCCCTCTTTCTTAAACTTTCAATTCTACCTAGAATAAATTGTTGCAGTCTTGGCCTTGAAAGAATCTTAAAAATCATTTAACTAAACTCCCTTATTTTATGAGTAAATAAAGGCCCACAGATGGAAAGGGACTTGCTTACACCAGTGACTATGCCAGACCAAGTGTCAATACTTACCAGGGAAGGGTTAATTTATATGGCTAGGTGTACTACTTTGTTTTTTTCTCTAACACTGATTTAAGAGGTACGTATGTTTTATATTAGGAAAATTTCTGCAAATTTAGGTAAAGTAGTATTTACATGCCTATTCTTTACCTGCAGTCTGGTAGATAAAAAATTTTATTCAAAGTCATAAGAAGGAAAAAAAAAAAGAGAAAAAAAGGGAACATTTTCACAAAGAAATGTTAAAAAAACTAGCTTAGCACTCACTTGTTACTCCTGAACTCTCAATACCATCAATTATTCTGAGTCACAAGCTGTAAATAACAGTATTTATAAAGTAAGTGACATTTACCTATTACTAGATTATTTGGCCGCTTCTTATTATGGGAGCCAAACATAAATAAAGAACAATCTGACTTCTTTGAAAAGAATTCCTGAAAAACCAAAGAAACTCCAGTTAATGCATTAATATAAGAACTTTAAAAACTGTACCTCTGAACTTTAAAAACAGTAATGAGGACAGCCCCGGTGGCTCAGCGGTTTAGCGCCACCTACAGTCCAGGGCGTGATCCTGGAGACCCCGGATCGAGTCACAGGTCAAGCTCTCTGCATGGAGCCTGCTTCTCTCCCTCTGCCTGTGTCTCTGACTCTCTCTCTCTGTGTGTCTATGAATAAATAAATAAATAATCTTAAAAAAAATAAAAATAAAAACAGTACTGAATACTTAATGAACTAGATAGGAATAAACAATAGAAAAGGACTTTATTTCTAGCTTTTTACTTCAATTTTTCTGATTTGAGGTACCTAAGAAAAATATATAAATTGAAGACTAAAAATATGCTGGAAAGTTTAGGTTAATAAAATAAATGAGACTATTTTCAACTATGCAGTTTGGATTAACACACTATTTCATTTGTTGAATAAACGCCCTTATTCATTAGACATTACTGCTATCATCAATGGTACATCTTACCATGCATTAAAATACACATGAATAGGGACACTTCAGGGTTCAAAAAGCCTAAAACTTTTTTTTTTAAAGATTTTAAAAATGTATTTATTTGAGAAAGTGAGAGCAAGGTGGGGGGGAACATGAGCAGGGAGGAAGAAGCAGACTCCCCACTGAGCACAGAGACCGGTATGGGGCTCAATCCCAGGACCCCGAGATCATGACCTGAACTGAAGGCAGACCTTAACCGACTGAGCCACACAGGGGCCCCTAAACCTCTAACTCTAGATGAAACGATCATAATCCTCAAGTTTTCTTTACAGGTTACAAGACTCCCTGGGGTGTGGACTCCTAGTTTGGTTTACATTCATTCCAGTGTTTAAGCAGAAGCAAACGGGGCAAAAAACTACCAAACCTGCCTATCCACCTGATATAGAGGATGTAGAGTCAGAAAGTCCAAGAATTCTGGCTCTGCCATTTACTGTCAGATCTGGTCAACCTTCCTAGGAATTAGTTTTATCATTTACACAATCGCAGACAATAAGACCTTCCTACAAAAATCTGCAAGGGCCACATGAAAGTCATATGTGCAAGTACCTTATCCTGTGTCTAGTACAAAGCAGGCATTCCAAAAAAGGATTCTGGGGATCCCTGGGTGGCGCAGCGGTTTGGCGCCTGCCTTTGGCTCAGGGCGCGATCCTGGAGACCCAGGATCGAATCCCACATTGGGCTCCCGGTGCATGGGGCCTGCTTCTCCATCTGCCTATGTCTCTCTCTGCCTCTCTCTCTCTCTGTGACTATCATAAATAAAAAAATAAATTAAAAAAAAAAAAGGATTCTTAGGGGTGCCTGGGTGGCTCAGTCAGTTGATGTCCAACTCCTGACTTCAGCTTGGGTCTTGATCTCAGGGTCGGGAGCTCAAGCCCTACACTGGGCTCTACTCTGCCCAGTGTGGAACCCACTTAAAAAAAAAAAAAATTTTAAGTGTCCAAATAAATGAAAATGCTTTCTTAAAAAAATGTTTTTTACATTCTCTTACTATCACTAACACCCCAAAGCTATCCATGAGCTACCGCTCACATAACTATAGTATTCATCTGTTGTTGTTCTCCCTAAGAAGTCCAGTTTTTGTTCAAACTAGAGAAAACACTGTCAAATTATCAGCAAAAGGCCAGGTAGTAAATACATTTAAGCCTTTTACATGCTTTTTTTAATAAAGAAACCCCCCCCAAAAAAGAAAGAAAGAAACCCTTTAAAAATATAAAAATTAAAAATATATATATAAAAATTATTCTTAGTTTATATATCTCACAGAAACAGGGATTTGGCCCACAAATTTGCCAACTCTGTTCTAAAGCAGTTCCAAGATCGTAGTATAAGAAATGTGCTACTGGAAAAAAAAAAAGTGCTACTGGAGGGATACATGGTCAGGAGGAGGAATTCAACCACATTTCCAACATGACCACTGTTTCCACAGCCATTCTGAGTTCTAGTAATCTGAGATTTTCTATGTCCAGTGAAATATCTGCTATCTCTGGAAGTGGGAGATGAAAGAGAGGAAAACACAATTTCAAGTGTAAGAAAAGCTGTAATATCAAAACTAGATTTTTTTTTAAGATTTTATTTATTTATTCATGAGAGACACACACACACACAGAGAGAGAGGCAGGCAAAGACACAGGCAGAGGGAGAAGCAGGCTCCATGCAGAGAGCCTGACGTGGGACTCGATCCCAGGACCCCGGGATCATGACATGGGCTGAAGGCGGCACTAAACCGCTAAGCCACCCAGGCTGCCCTCAAAACTGGATTGAAAAAGAAGTACAGGTGGACTCCTGTACTCAATGGTTGAGTGTCTGCCTTCAGCTCAATGGTTGAGTGTCTGCCTTCAGCTCAGGGCATGATCCCAGGGTCCAGGGATCAAGTCCTGCATCAGGCTCCGTGCATGGAGCCTGCTTCTCCCTCTGCCTGTGTCTCTGCCTCTCTCTCTGCCTCTCATGAATAAATAAATAAAATCTTAAAAAAACAAAACAAAACAAAACAAAAAAAAAAAAACAGAAAAAAGTACGGGGATGCCTGGGTGGCTCAGTGGTTGAGCGTCTGCCTTTGGCTCACGGTGAGATCCCAGGTCTGGGGATCAAGTCCCGCATCAGGCTCCCTGCTTCTCTCTCTGCCTATGTCTTTGCCCGCCCCCCCCCCCCTCTGTGTGTGTGTGTCTCTCATGAATAAATAAATATCTTTTAAAAAGAAAAACAAGAAAGAAAAGGAAGTGCAGAATGCTACAAATTCTACATCACATCACTGCTACAAAGTGATCACTCAACTAAAAGCATCATGGTGCCTAGACAAAACAAGCCCTTGATAAGCAGTATATGAGAGACAGAATTTTGGGTTAGAGCCCTTACTTTCAATTTCATAATCTCTTCAACAAATGACTGAAAACTCAAAACTACAATGAAAGTAATTTTGTAAAAAAATGAATATTGGAACGCCTGGGTGGCTCAGTGGTTGAGCATCTGCCTTTGGCTCAGGGCATAATCCTGTAGTCCCAGGATCGAGTCCCACATCGGGCTCCCTACATGGAGCCTGCTTCTCCCTCTGCCTATGTCTCTGTTCCTCTGTCATGAATGAATAAATAAAAATCTTTAAAACAACCCCTCAATATTGGGGTACCTGGGTTGCTCTGTCAGTTGAGCATCTGCCTTTGGCTCGGCTCAAGTCATGGGCCTGGGGTCAGGCCCTAAATTAGGCTCCCTGCTTGGTGGGGAGTCTGCTTATCCCTCTGCCCCTTTCCCTGCTTGTGCTCTCTCAAATAAATAAAATTTAAAAAAATTTTTTTTTCAAAAACTAAATATTGATTTTTCTTAAAATGTTATAATTTTTAATTAGTTAGTTGCTACATTAGAATTAAGATGTCCAATTTTGCCTTCTAATTAATTACTAAGATTCTATTCAAAAGTTCTTTCTTCTAAATTCACTAACCAGGGGTGCCTGGGTGGCTCAGTCGTTTGAGCATCTGAATCTTGATTTCAGCTCAGGTTATGATCTCAGGATCCAGGGCTGGAGCCCTGTGGTGGGCTCTGTATGCTCAGCAGGGAGTCTCCTTGAGGATTCTTTTCCTCCACTCCTCCCCCACATGTGCGTACCTGCCCACGCGTTCTCTAAAGTAAGTATTTAAATAAAGAAATAAAAGAAATTCACTAAAAGGAAAAACAAATAAGTAATGGTGTTCCCCTTAGGAGAACATAATTCCATTCCGATTTTTTTTTCAGTATCTTTTACTTTCCTTTTTTTAAAAGTAAGCTCTAGGCTCAATGTGGGGTTTGAACTCATAACCCAGAGATCAAGAGTCTCATGCTCGGGACGCCTGGGTGGCTTAGTGGTTGAGCATCTGCCCTTGGCTCAGGGCGTGATCTCTGGTTCAGGATGGGAGTCCCTCATCAGGCTCCCTGCAGAGGGCCTGCTTCTCCCTCTGTCTCTGCCTCTCTCTCTGTATCTCAAAATAAAATAAAAAATAAAATAAAATAAAATAAAATAGAGTCACATGCTCTACTGACTGTGCCAGCCAGGCATCTCCCATTCTGACTTTTTTAAGCTCAATTTATTTTAACCTACTTATTCCCTTAAGATTTTCTTTAAAAGGAAGCAAAAAAATCACATGCCCAAAGTCCATCATTCACTATCTTTTATCTAATTCCATTCACTAGCTTTTTTCATTTAGTTTGGTTGCCAATACACTCAAAAAGGAATTCAATTAGTAAAGCAACTGACAACTGTTAGCAACAGTTCAAGCAGCATTCCTTGTTCTAAAAATACCCAAAGAAAGAAGTCAGATTTTGAAAAATAAAACCTGCTTTATAAAAAGACCTGTATCAAGCTTCCTTTTGATAATCTAATTATACACATAAAATTCAATTTTTAAAAATTGTGAATATATTTCCAAGCAGTGAACAGTAATACTAGTCATAGTGAAATGTAAGATCATAGTCATATTTTTGAAAGTATAAGTCTTATTTCAAAATAATATCTTATTTCTCCTCCACTTTGTATTAAAATTACCTCATATAGGATGATTTCTAATTCAAAACATCACAAATTAGGAATACCAAACGAGTAGTAATTAGTTTGAGTAATCATTTATACGCTCTCTTAAATCAGAAAGATTCTTGAGGTGCCTGGATGGCACAGTTAAGTGAATGACTCCTGGTTTCAGCTTAGGTTGTGACCTCAGGGTCATGGGATCAAGCCCTGCATTGGGGTCTGCCTTCATCTTAGAGTGTGCTTGAGATTGTATTTCCCTTTCCCTCTGGTCCTACCCTCCCTCCATGTGCCCTAAAATAAAAAACAAGCAAAAAGATTGTTGTACTCACCAATGATGTCTGATCCTCAAATGGTCTTGTAATGTTTTTCCTAAGAATATTTTTAAAAGGTTACCTTAATTTCAGTAATCTTAATAAGCTATTCACCCATAACAATTAAGTAATATATTAAGATAATTTTATGTTCAGATGATCAAAAATGAAACTGGAGGGATATTCATTCATTCAAACATGTATTTAGTACCTATCACGTACCAGGCACTGTTATAAGAGCTAAGGATCCTAGAAAACAAACAAGATTCTTGCTTTCATGGAGCCTACATTCTTTTTTTTTTTTTAAACTTTTATTTTTTTTTAAGATTTTATTTATTTATTCATGATAGTCACACAGAGAGAGACAGAGAGGCAGAGACACAGGCAGAGGGAGAAGCAGGCTCCATGCAGGGACGTGGACTCGATCCCGGGTCTCCAGGATCGCGCCCCGGGCCAAAGGCAGGCGCCAAACCGCTGCGCCACCCAGGGATCCCTGGAGCCTACATTCTAGTGGAAAAATTAAAATTGCAAAAAGTAGTAACTGTAGTGACAAAAATAAAATAGGGTAGTCTGTTATGAAGAGTAGAAAATGACTATTTGAGCTGAGACTCGATAGATGAAGAATATGCTGTTGAAAAGTTTTGAGGCTAAGCACATTCTAAGAAGAATGAACAGAATAAGCAAATATCCTGAGATGGAAACAAGCTTAGACTATTCAAGAAATGGAAAGAAGGAGAGTATCACTGAAGCTTGGTGTCCAAAGGGAAAATGGTGGGGCGTGAGATCAAAGATGTAGACAAGGCCCAGATGATATAGGGCCTTGTTGGTCAAGGTAATGAATGTAAATATTGAGTAACAGGAAGCACTACAGGAAGCACTAAAGAGTTTCAGGCAGGAGTGATAAAAAGATCAGACTCGGGCAGCCCCGGTGGTGCAGCGGTTTGGTGCCGCTTGCAGCCTGGGGTGTGATCCTGGAGACCCAGGATCGAGTTCCACATTGGGCTCCCTGCATGGAGCCTGCTTCTCCCTCTGTCTGTGTCTCTGCCTCTCTCTCTGTGTCTATGAATAAATAAATAAAATCTTTAAATAAAATAAATTCACCTTTAAAAAAAAAAAAAAGATCAGACTCAAATTTTCTACTTAAAGGACTGTTCTGTCCACAGTGTGAGAATGCACTGTAGTATGGCAAGACTGGAAAGAGTTAATAAGAAGCTATCACAGAAATCCAGAAGAGAGAAATAAATGGTGCATTGGACCAAGAACCCTAGTAGGAGAACTGAAGAAGCAGTGAATAAAACGCGCTATTTTTCAAGTAAACAGGAAAGAAATACAAATATATTTTTTTTCTTTGCTTAAATATGCATAAAGAAATTCTGGTAAAATACATGATAAACTGAGACGTAGTTGTTCTGAGAAGAGTATTTATATTTTCACTTAGAATTTTTGATTTCCAATCATGTAAACAAAGCTTCTATAAAATAGTTCAGGGATGCTGAGTGGCTCAGCGGCTGAGTGTCTGCCTTTGGCTCAGGGCGTGATCCTGGAGTCCTGGGATGGGGAGCCCTGCAGGGAGCCTGCTTCTCCCTCTGCCTGTGTCTCTGCCTCTCTCTCTCTCTCTCTGTGTGTCTCTCATGAATAAATAAATAAAATCTTTTATTAAAAAAAGTTCATAATTTTTATGAAGCAAAATCTATATATAACATGATCTCAATTTTGTTTAAAGAATAAAATGGGACTCCTGGGTGACTCAGTTAGATGAGCAGCCGACTCTTGATTTCAGCTCAGGTCATTATCTCAGGGTCCAGGGTCAAGCCCCACCCCGGGCTCTATGCTCAGAGGGAAATCTGCTTTAAGGATTCTCTTTCCCCCTCTCCCTCCATCTCTCTCTTGTTCACATGAACGCACACATGTAAACATAAATAAGTCTTTAAAAAAGAATAAACGTAAAGACATGAAATATCTGTACAGATGTGAAAAGGGATGAAGGGGAGTGGGAGATACCAGCTTCCAGTTATGGAATCAATAAGTCATGGAAATAGAAACACCTGAGTGGCTCAGTGGTTAAGCGTCTGCCTTTGGCTCAGGGCAGGATCCCAGAGAGTCCTGGGATTGAGTCCTGCATCGGGCTCCCAGCAGGGAGCCCGCATCTCCCTCTCCCTGTCCTGTCTCTGCCTCTCCCTGTGTATCTCTCATAAATAAATAAAATATTAAAAAAAAAAAAAAAGTCATAGGGGGATCCCTGGGTGGCTCAGCGGTTTAGCACCTGCCTTTGGCCCAGGTGTGATAATGGAGTCCCGGGATCGAGTCCCGTATTGGGCTCCCTGCATGGAGCCTGCTTCCCCTTCTGCCTGTGTCTTTGCCTCTCTCTGTCTCTCATGAATAAACAAAATATTTTTTTAAAAAGTCATGGAAATAAAAGACACAGCATAAACATTATAACAGTGACAGAAGATAGCTACACTTGTAGTGAGTATAGAGCATAATGTACACATTTGTCAAATCACTAGGTTTTACACTTGAAAATAATGTAACATTGTGTGTCAACTATACTCAAATGAAAAAAAGAAAAGAAAATGTACAGGAAAAAAATATGTCAGAATGTACATAGTGCTATGGGTGATTATTACATTAATCTAATTAAGAGAAATGTGTATTACTCTCATAGTCAGAAGAAAATTATTATTTTTAATGATGCAAGGCAAACAAAGAAAAATTATTGCAGCATTTATGATTAATAGCAAACTATAATTCACAAATTAGCAAATATAACCTGTTGGAAACATGGAAAATGCAGATTAAACAAAGTATGATTTTTACTTCTTAGCTTAAAAATATAAACCCGGGGATCCCTGGGTGGCGCGGTGGTTTGGCGCCTGCCTTTGGCCCAGGGCGCGATCCTGGAGACCTGGGATCGAATCCCACGTCAGGCTCCCAGTGCATGGAGCCTGCTTCTCCCTCTGCCTATGTCTCTGCCTCTCTCTCTCTATCTGTATGACTATCATAAATAAATAAATAATAAATAAATGAATGAATGAATGAATGAATAAATAAATAAAAAATATAAACCCGAAGGAGGTAATGGCCCATGGAACTTGTATATTGCACTCTGCCCAAAGGACAATCTTTTCAAAAAGTAATATAATTAATATGCTCTACTGGGCATGAAGTTGTACCCAGTAATCTTATGTCTAAGAATCTCATATAGGAACTAATTCAAAAGGAAAACTCATTCCTGTAAAAACGGTCATTTAAGCATTATTATAAGAACAGCAAAAAAGAAAAACCCAAATTCCCTCAAATTAAGGTAAGTTACAAGTAAATTTTAGTGTAACCACTTAATAGACATTATACTGGCAATGAAAATAATACCTAAAGGATCAATTATCAATAGGAAAATATTTACAATATAAATAAAAAAGGCTTAATATAAAATTTAATATATGGCAACAACACAGGTAATTTGGGGGCATTTTGTTAATGAAAGAAGATAGACTCCAGAGGCTATATGATTCCATTTATGTAACATTCTGAAAAAGGAAAAACTGTAAGGATGAAAAACAGTTCACTGGTTAAGGGGGAGGAGGAGAACAACAAGAGCACACTGCACTAAAAAATTTTCAGGATGGGGATCCCTGGGTGGCGCCGTGGTTTAGCGCCTGCCTTTGGCCCAGGGCGCGATCCTGGAGACCCGGGATCGAATCCCACATCGGGCTCCCGGTGCATGGAGCCTGCTTCTCCCTCTGCCTATGTCTCTGCCTCTCTCTCTCTCTCTCTGTGACTATCATAAATAAATAAAAATTAAAAAAAAATTTTTCAGGATGATGGAACTGTTTCTGTATCATGAACTGTAGTGGCTGACACAGTTCAATGCATTTTTCAAAACCGATAAAACTGTATACCACAGAGTAAATTTTACATACATAAATTAAAACAACAACCAGGAGGGACACCTCAGAGTCCTGGGATTGAGTCCCACATCGAGCTCCCTGCATGAAGCCTGCTTCTCCCTCTGCCTATGTCTCTGCCTCTGTGTCTCTCATGAATAAATAAATAAAATCTTAAAAAACAACAACCAGGATGTGGAGAAAAACCCAAAACAGAATTCAAACTATAATAAATGACCCTAATAGTATTTTAAAGGAACAACACAGACACATTAAAAAGGCGGAAAAAACCTAACTTATGTTACATTGGAAAACAGTATTTGTACTGGATACTCTAAACTTAAAAAGAACTATTTACACATTTTATCCTCCAGTTAATTTGTTGTTTCTTTTTTTTTTTGTTAATTTGTTTCTTATAGGGCTAGAAATTCTGAAACTATGTATGTACTAGAATGATACAAATAAATAAATATATATGGACTACCAATAAAGAAAGCCAAGTTTCTTACTGTCAGAAGAAAAAAGTTACAAGGAAAGAAGAAAGGCTGGAATGAAGTCTGTGGCATTGGAATGGAACTGAAGTATTAGTATGAACTCATGATTCTTCAGGAAGTATCAGTATGAACTCAGAGTTTTTCAAATATAGATAAATATAAATTTAGATGTGTGTATGCATAGGCATCTAGGGACAATGACACTCCCATAGCAACAGAGTATACTTAATGCCCAGATCTTCATTTCTAAATTATCAATTTCCAATATACAGAAACAGGTCTCCATAGAGAAGGGGTTGATTTCAGGGTTGCCACAAAGAAAAAGTAAAGATGAGCTTGGAGCATCTTGTGGCACCAGAAAGGAAGTACTCAAATACAAGGAGCATATTGAAAGAGGACAGGAGCCGAACTGAAAGAGATCCCAATGGCCAAATGTAGAATTTGAGCAACAAAATAATAACGCTGGACTATAACTCCAAAGAATAAATATCTGTAAATCCACACTAATAAATGAGTAATTCAACAAGGAGAAGGGAGAGATTTTCTTCATAAAATTCCAACTAATAAATATATAACGAGGAAGATAGAAAACCACTATCAGAACACCAGGAGCAATCACCTCTGTAGACAAGATCCATTGATGGATGCTAAAATTAATAAGAAAAAATGTGTGGAGAGAAAGGATTATTTGCATAGTCTTTGCATGGTCTCAAAATATTTCCACCAAACATTTATTAATTATAAGAGGAAAAATAGTTAATGTATAGTGGAGAAACCAAGCAGACACCACTTTAACCAAGGTTAATGCTACCAGCATAAGATATCCTGTGCTCCCTGGTATGATTTACTGAGAAAAGCACATCACTTTTCTGGTATTCTTGACAAAAATGCATAAGGCTCAATCTATTCATGAGAAATTTAAGACAAATCAAATTGAGGGATATTTTACAAAATAATTAACAAGCATTCATCAAAACTGTCAAAGTCATCAAAAAAGGAAAGACTAAGGAACTGTCACAAATGGGAGAGCAAGGAGACATGACAATTAAGTGCAGTGTAGGATCCTGGAAGAGAAAAAGGATATTACTGGAAAAACTGGTGCAAACCAAATCAAGTAAATTATTATACCAATGTTAATTTCTTTTGATAACTATGGTTACACAAGATGAAACATTAAGTGCGTGAAGGTCATGAGAACTCTACTAATTTCTGTCCACTTTTCTGGAAGGCCATAATCATTTCAAAATAATATATATGTATTAAGATTCTAACTATGTAATCATATTTAATACAATAAAAACACAAACTGGAACAAAATAAAATTTTAAAATACTCGTAGTTATATATAAGGAACTATCATATTTTTTAAACAAAATAGTTTTCTGAATCTCCCATAGGTAACTGTTACTTTTATAATAGAACAATATAACTTAAAATAAGTCAGTACTTACTTTTTATACAGAACACCATACGGTTTTTTCAGTGCATACTGTAAGACATAATTTATAGCTTTCAAAACAAATTACATTCAGAAAAGCAGAAGTAAAAGTAAAATTGCATTGTATCAGGCATTACACAGGATCACCTGGTCCCAGGGTCCTATTCTAATGTCTTCTGCTTGGCTCCCTTTTAATCATTTATATAACCCTGCAACATAAGCTTAATATCCTCTTAGACTGGAGTTTCTCAAAGTTTCTACGTCCTTTCAAAAATCTATACAACTCAAATAATTCCTTTCATTTCTTTAAATTCCCATTCCGTTCTTTCCAGGCAAACTCTTTGATGGTAGAAAGAAAATATAAAAAATAAATCCTATCAGGAAAGGCTGAAAGAGTTGAAGTAACGTCTGGAGACCAGAGAAAGAGTCCCAGAAATAACAATCAGAACGCTAGTTGAAGTTTAAAACACAGCCCTTTAAAAAATTCCTGTCACTGAACCTTCATTTTTTTCTTACTTCTTTCCACTCATTCATGAATAATCACTTATTATCTTTAGGGTCAGTTCTGCTCTACCGTAAGGAATAAAAAAAGACTTAAGGCATCCCCTTGCATTAGGGAAAGGGGTAAATAAGGGAAATAATGAAAAGAAAAATGATCATTCATCAACAATCAGAATTGATGAACCAGGGAAATTCAGCAGTAAAAGCTCTTTTTAAGTACTAAAACTTCTTAAGTTTATTTGTTTTAGTCATCTCTACAGCCAACGTGGGACTCAAACTCACAACACCAGGATCAAGAGTCAATGCTCTTCCAAGTCAGCCAGGTGTCCCTTCAGTACTACAAGTTTTGATAATTCTTGACCAAGTGGTTCCCTGCTTTGGTGTCATGCACGTTACCACAGTGACAACTCAAGAATCATCAATATGAATGTTAACTACTGCAATAACCTGTAATATTGTTCTGTTCCCAAGGCTTACTTAAATACAGGGCCAGAATCCTACCAACACAATGACACGGACACAAAGGATGAGCATGTATTAGACATTCATATATCCAAACTATAGTGTTTAACAAGCTTTTTGAGTTTAGTCAAGTATAAAAATCTATTCAATTACTTAATTTCACTCAAAGAACCTGTTGTATTCAAGGCCTAAATATTCAACCACCAACTAGGTGACTCCATAGACTGTGCCTTTTGATCACTGATTAAACATTTGTTGAGCATCTACCATGTTCCACAAACTGGGCTAAAAATCAGGCTATGGAGGTAGAAAAAAACATAAAACTTTTATCTTCATCACTTATAATTATAGGACCTGAACTGAACATTATCACTTCTCTCTCTAAACCTGCTCCACCTGGTATACTCTCGAATTGGGATTGCCACTCAAGAATTCAATCCAGACACCATGGCCACACTCTTCTACCCTCAACATCCAGTCTCTCCGATCATCTCTCATTTTCACTGGCACTACCACACTCCAGATACTCATGATCTCAATAACAGCAATGGCTGAATCAGTTTCCTACGTTTGCTCTCAGTTTTCTCTGGTCAAACTGATTAAAAGGGCTGATCATGGGAAGTCGGGGTGGCTCAGCGGTTTAGTGCCTGCCTTCAGCCCAGGGCATGATCCTGGAGTTCCGGGATCAAGTCCCACGTTGGGCTCCCTGCATGGAGCCTGCTTCTCCCTCTGCCTGTGTCTCTGCCTCTCTCTCTCTCTCTGTGTGTCTCTCATGAATAAATAAAATCTTTTTTGAAAATTAAAAAAATAAGTGTATACATATACATACCACATCTCTAAGTACTTGTGTCACCACTGAATTCGCATTTCCCCCTTTAATCAACATTGCATTTTTAATATTTTCACTGAGTTTCGGTTCTCTCTTCTCAAGGAATCTCTTTGCTCTTTTCGTTTTGGGCTTTCTGTTCAGAAAAATCACAATTTATAATAACTTAAAACAAAAAAAAATAACTTAAAACATTATCCTCATGGTACAAAACCACAACTTGGCTAAGGTGCAAATTCTTAAAAATCAACAAATATTACATAACATTTATCAGTTAGGATTCTACCATTAAACAAAATCTCACTTTTCAGGGAGATATTAGTAGAGGGTTTTTAGTTGTTACTATTAAGTGTTAATTTTATTAGCTTTTGGTTTTTTAAAAAAGGCTTTCCTTTTTTTATATCCCCAGCAATTCTTATTACTGCTTTTTTCTAAACTTAAAAAAGAAAAATGTGGGCAGCCCAGGTGGCTCAGCTGTTTAGCACCTGCCTTGGGCCCAGGGCATGATCCACCTCCAGCTCCCTGCAGGGAGCCTGCTTCTCCCTCTGCCTGTGTCTCTGCCTGTCTCTGCCTCTCTCTCTCTCTCTCTATGAAAAAATAAATAAATCTTAAAAAAAAAAAAAAGAAAAAAATGTTTTTAAAGATTTAATGAATACTGTGGCTATTTTTACTGCATTATTTTTTCTGCAGTCTTGCACACCAAAGAGCGATCTGTGAGCAGTCACTAAACACAGAGAGGCTACTAACTGCCTATCTTCCGTCCCGTTTTAAGACCACAATCCTTACCAGGAAGTATACAATATCCCACTCCAACATCACAGGCAAAAAAGTCAAATATTATTGCCACCAAAGGGGGGGATAATGATGACTCATCATTTTATAGAGCCACTCTTAGTGCTTATCTTCACCAAGATCCCATGACACAGGTAAACTTATTTTCATTTCACAGATGAGGCAACTGAGGCCAGGGAGGTAATTTGGCCAAGGTCACACTATTCACAAGTAGGCCGATCTTCAAAATGAGCTAGATATGAAAACTCATCTAGACAAATCACTCTGCAAAATATGAAGGGACAACAAATTCATTATCCTGATTTTTATGACGGGACAGCAGGAATAGAATGTTTTTATACATTTCTGTTTTCAGAAAAAGGGCTTCACTTCTGCTTCCACCGTGTATCTTGCTTTTCCAACAGTTCTCTCCCATCTACTGAAAGAGTTCCTCCTCTCTTAGGGAACTATGACCCTCCAACCTTTCAGTCCTGTGGACACTTTGGGCAGGAAAAGAAAAACAGAATATACACATACTTAATTTACCACCCAGAGGGGGATCCCTTGGGTGGCTCAGTGGTTTAGCGCCCGCCTTAGGCCCAGGGCGTGACCCAGGAGTCCCACATGGGGCTCCCTGCATGGAGCCTGCTTCTCCCTCTGCCTGTGTCTCTGGCTCTGTGTCACTCATGAGTAAATAAATAAAACCTTAAAAAAAAAAAAAAAAGATTCTCCTCCAGATAAAGCGTCAAGCAATATAAAGCTTCCAATCATCTACTGTTTGATGAAGACACAGGTGTGTTAAATCACGAAATGTTTAGTATGTCCATACTAAAAAGAAAAAAGGGCTCTATGCTCTATAGTCCGTGTGAGCTGTCACTTGTCCCTGGCCAGCGGCTAATGCAAATCACATGTATTTGATCAGCTGCTTGTCCCCCAATCAGACACAGAAAAGATGCGCAAAAACCTCTGAGTTAATGACCAAAAGAAGAATCTGTCGTTTTGATGGGGTCTCAACCCAGGCGTCTCCCAAGACGCAGCAGCGGGACGATGTAGGAGATAGATCGATACATATTTTCTGAACGCGCGGAAAACAAACACCGACCCGAGAAAGAACAAGCTCGCGCCCTGTCCTGCGTGCGGCGCAGCGAAGGCTCTACTGCCCGCCAGGAATTCTCGCGGCTCCACGAAGCACGATCAGGGCTCCACGTCCGCCAGGGCTGGGGCGGGGGACCTCGGGCCCAAAGTCACCTGACGCCCGCGCCGGACCCGGAGCGTCCCCTCCGCCGGTCGGCTCCCGAGGCCTCGGGCAGGACGCCACTCGCGCGGCCGCTCACGTCCTCACAGCGCTCGGGAAGCCAGGGCGTCTCCAGCCGGCCGGGAGGGAAGCGGCCACCATCCGGGCGCTACCGCCGGGGCTGCCGCCCGGGGCCTCCGCGCTCTCGGGCCCCCGGCGAGGGCACCCATCGGCCCGCCGCAGGCCCAACTGCCAAAGAGCGGGAGGAGCGAGGGGCAGCCCGGCGGAGCGGAGGCTTCCGCCCTCCTTCCCCCCGCGGGAGTCCCGCTCCCCAACGACCCCCGAGAGGGCCCCCAGCGCACTCACACGACTCGGTCCAGAGCGTCCATGGCTACGGCCACGCGGACCCGGCGGGAGGGGAGGGGCGCGCGTGCGCCGCGCGGCCACGCCTGATAGGCCAGCGCCCCGGAACGGGCGGAACCGGAACTTGCGCGGCACGCCACTTCCGGGGGCCGCCCCGTTCCCTTGGTTACAGACTTCGGTCTGGGCTCCTCGCCGGAAGTGGGCGCTCGCGGGGACGCCGCCCGCAGCCGCTTCCAGCAGGCGCCCGTGTGTAGACGTCTACGCGGAATGAGGTGTCCGGGGACCCGCTGTTCTCCTGCGGGGAGTCCCTCGGAATGCCGACGTCGAGGCGCAGCGCGCGCTGGTGGCCGCACTGGAAGCTCAGCGAGGCCGAGTTGGGCTCGCAAAGGACGTGCAGAGAGTAACGCCGCCGAGCCTCATCCCCCATTCTACGAACGTTTGTTTATTCCTTCAAGAGATTTATGGATGTTTGGGGTTTTTCCCACCTTTTTTTTTGGATTATTATGAATTTGAACTTTTTTTTTGACTATTATGAATAGTCTATTTTCAATAGTCTATTGAACTTTTTTGACTATTATGAATAGACTATTTTCCACTTTTTTTGACCATTATGAATCTGGTTTGAACATTCACGTACAAGTCTTTGTGTAGAGATCTCAGTTCTCTAGGAGTAGAATTGCTGGATCACAGGGTAACCCTGGGTCTGACACTTTGAGGAACTGCCAAACTGTTCTCTGCCTGCAACATCTTACATTCCCGCCTAGCAGTGGAACAGGGTTTGGTATTGGTATTTTTCTTTCTTTCTTTCTTTCTTTCTTTCTTTCTTTCTTTCTTTCTTTCTTTCTTTCTTTCTTTGTATTGGTATTTCTATTTCTATTTTTTATTTTATTTTATTTATTCATGAGACACACAGGTCAAGGGAGAAGCAGGCTCCATGCAGGGAGCCAGATGTGGGACTCGATCCCAGGACCCCAGGGTCACGCCCTGCGCTAAACCGCTGGGCCATCATCCAGGGACCCCCTGGATTCTATTTTCTATTACCCCCACCTTCTGGTGTAAAAATAACACATTTATATTAGAGTCCTACAAGTTTGAAGTCTGAAATTAGTTTTGCAGATCTAATACTAATATGTCACAGTCATGCGTTTTTTGTATGAAGAAATAAGGATTGTGTACTTAATATCATAAGCTACAGCTTTCTATCATATTACCTTTTTTCTCATGGAAGCAAAACACTTCCAATGCCCCATCTTGAAACTTTTAGCATTTGTGGTGATGAAATGTTTTGTAAATATACACCAATGACCTAGACTAACCCTTCCTTGTGGGAAATGTATGTTCTTTTAAGTTTACATGGAAGTAAAACACTTGAAATGCTGTATGTACCATATTTCCTGAATTTTCTGTACGTAATCTCAATGACATTAGATCAGAATACTATGATCATATTTTCATGGCTAGAGTTCATCGTGCATTAAATTGGGCAAGAAAAATTTGATTTTGACTGATAGTGTTCTCACCCGTGTAACAGAGATTTACAGGTTCTAATCCCTTAGGTTATGAATCCTACCCATTCTTAGCATTACCAATTATGTGCAGAGTGACGGCACAATTGTAGTTTTTATTTTTTAAAGATTTTTTTATTCATGAGACACACACACACACACAGGCAGAGGGAGAAGCAGGCTCCCTGTGGGAGCCCGATGTGGGACTCGATCCCGGGACCCCAGGATCACACCCTGAGCCGAAGGGAGACGCTCAGCCACTGAGCCACCCAGCGTCCCTGACTCTGACACTCCTGAATCCCTCTTATAAAAGCCTTGTAATTACATGTGGCCCACCTGGATAATCCACATCATTGCTTATCTCAAGATCCTTTACTTATAAAGCAAAGTTCCCTTTGGTCAAGTAAGGTAACTCAGATCCCTGAGTAAGGACATCTTTTGAGGGGAGCACTATTCTATCAACCACAAGTTCCAGTTTTCCTACTCTTTAGCAAATATTGCTATTGTCCATCTTTTTTTATTAAGCCATACCTGGGTGTGAAGTGGTATCATTGTGGTTTTCATTTGCATTTCCCTGAGGGCAAATGATGTTGAAATCTTTTCATGGGCTGATTGGACATTTATAGGTTTATCTCCTTTAGAAAAATGTCTATTTAGATTATTTGCTCATTTTAAAAACTGTGTTGTCTTTGTTGTGGAGTGTACATAAATTCTTTATATATTCTAGACCTGAGACCCTTATCTGATACACAATTTGCAGATATTTTCTCCCATTGAGTATCTTCATTTTCTAGAGTGTCCTTTGAACAAAAGTTTTCAATTTTGCTGAAGTCCAATTTATCCATTATTTTCTTTCGTTGCTTTGTACTCTTTGTCATATCTAAGAAGCCATTTCCTAAACCAAGATGATAAAGATTTACACCTTTATTTTCTTTCTTTCTCTTTTTTTCTTCTTTTTTTGCTTTAGGCATGGTCTTTATTCACTAGGAATTGTATGAATATTACAATTTTCTTTTGCTGAAAAAATATAAAAATAATTTTATATAGGAATATATTAGTTACTGCAAATCTTTCTAAATCTCTGTAAATGTTAGAGTTCTAGAAGTCTGAAGTCTGAAATTAGTTATGCAGATCTAAAATTAAGATGTCAGGACAAAAAAAAAAAAAAAAAAAAAGATGTCGGGATGCCTGGGTGGCTCAGTGGTTGAGCATCTGCCTTTGGCCTGGGGCATGATCCCAGAGTCCTGGGATTGAGTCCCACATTAGACCCCCTGACTGGAGCCTGTTTCTCCCTCTGCCTGTCTCTCTCTCTCTCTCATGAATAAATAAAATCTTTAAAAAATAAAATTAAGAAGTCACAGTAACATGCTTTTTGTATGAAGAAATAGGATCATTTACTTAATACCGTAAGCTACATCTTTCTCTGTCAAATAAATAAAATCTTTTAAAAATAAAATAAAAATAAATAAAAATAAAAATAAAATGAGTGGCCTACATGTATGTAGGTATATTTCTGGGCCCTGTATTCAGTCTATTCAGTATTGTCTATTCTTTTGCCAATTCTCACTGTCTCAATTACTGTAACTTTATACCAAGTCTTGGAAGTTGGGTACTGTCTATCATCCTTTGTTTTTCAATATTGTGTTGGCTATTGTGGGTCTTTTGCCTCTCCATATAAACTTTATTTTGTTTAAGGAGTGATTTATTACTATTTTTTTTACCGAAGTTTATTCTTAAATGTACAACAGGATCTAACAGTTCATTCTAGCTATAGGTGGCAACAGATACATGACAGGGAATCCAGATGTTTAACAAGAATGGAATTACGAATCACCATTGCCTCAAGCATAAGGAACAGCTTACTTTTTGTCAGATTACTTTTTTTTTTTTTTGGTCAGATATCTTAATTCCCCTGTGACCCCAGGGCCCATCCCCACAGCCTTCACTTTTAGCCCATTGGAGTTTCTCCTGCTCCTCTGTTTCTTGAATGCCTTATCTTTCTCATCCATCTGCTTGGCCTGCTTCTTGGGCCACTTCAGGGGCATTTTCTTGCCACCTTCACATCCAGGCATGGCACCTGCACCCCTTTCACAGACCCTGCCACCAGAAGCTTCTCCATATAAACTTTAGAATCACTTTGCCAATACCCACAAAATAACTTGTTAGGATTTTGGGATTGCACTGAATCTAAAGAGCAAGCTGGGAAGAACTAACATCCAGACGATATTGTGTCTTCCTATCCATGAATATGGAATATCTTTCCATTTAGTTCTTTTTTGATTTATCAGAATGTTATTTTCCCCATATGGGTCTTGTATGTATTTTGATTAATACCTAGTTTTTTTCATTTGGGCGGTGTTAATATAAATAATATTGTGTTTTAAATTTCAAATTTCATGTGTTCATTGCTGGTATATAGGAATGCAATTGCCTTTTGTGTATTAACTTCTATCCTGCATCTCTGCTACCATTGCTAATTAGTTCCACGAGTTTTTGTTTTTAAGCTTTTTTGATAGTTGCTCTCACATTTTCTACATAGATGATCATATCATCTGGAACAATTTTATTTCTTCCTTCCCAATCTGTATGCTTCTAGTTCCCTCTCCTTGTTTGCATTACCCTAGGTAATCTAGGACTTCCAGTGCAATGTTAAAAAGCAGTGGTGAGAGGGGACATTCTTACCTTGTTCCTGATCTTAACAGGAAAGCTTCAAGTTTCTCACCATTAATATGATAGCAGTCTTGTAGACAGTCTTTATCAAGTTGAGGAAGTTCCCCTCTTTCATTTCTGATATTAATAATCTGTCTCATTTTTTAGCCAGACTTGAGTCTTATCAATTTAATTGATCTTTTCAAAGAATCAGCCTTTGTTTTAATTGACTTTCTCAACTGATTTCCTGTTTTCAATTTCATTTACTTCTAATTTTTATTATTTCTTTCTTCTGCCTACTTTGGATTTAATTAGCTCTTTTTTTTTTCTAATTCCCTAACATGGAAGTTTAGATGATTGATTTTAGGTCTTTCTTCTTTTTTAATATATACATTCCATGCTATACATTTCCTTCTAAGCACTGCTTTCACTGTGTCTCACAACTTTTAAGAAGTTTTGTTTTCATTTAGTTCAAAACATTTCTAAATTTCTGAGAGTTCTTCTTGCCCTGTGTTACTTGAAGTATGTCGCTTAATTTCTGAGTATTACAGTATTTTCCAGCTGTTATTGATTTCTAGTTGTTTCATTGTGGTTTGAGAGCGGACATTGTATGATTTCTACTCTTAAACTTGATGTTTTTTGCCCCCAAATGTGATCTATCTTGATGAATGTTACATGTGAGCTTGAGAAGAATGTATATTCTATTGTTATATAAAGTAGTCTATAGATGTCCCTTATGTCCAGTTGACTGAGTTTTTGAGTTCAACCATGTACTTTAAAAAAAAAAAAAAC